TTTGGGGGGGCGCGCCCCCCCGCCCCCCCCCCCCCCCCCCCCCCCCCCGGAGGCTACGGCCCTGATTAGAAGAGGAACGTTCATGTATTTAATTGCATAAATAATAAATGGATTGCCTAAGACGAGAGGCGCTTCGAGTTGAGTTTTTATTTGCACAGTCAACTGAATATACATAGATATAGCTATTAATTTATATAATTTTTTTCCCTTTTCACTCACTCGTCCACGCAATGCGCGGCAGTTAAAACCCACTGGGGATGGACCAAACTGCCACCGCAGAAATGTGATCCTCCTGTCCAAGACAAGCTAACCATCCACGGCCAAGCATGTGGTGGACTTTCGATACCTCCTACGATTCTGTTTCTTACTCGTGGGGATAGACCACACTCTACTAAGACAAAAAAAAGGTGGTACATAAGGCCCTCTGTGGCCTTGTTCTTGTCTCGCTTTCATCTTAAAATTAAACATTGAAACTGGACTTTGAAAATTGTTTTGACGCTACTATAAAATTTCTTGCGTGTGAAATGATTTGCTCGAATTTACACCAGCTTGTGGTTTATTTTAGTTATAGGAAGGAAACACGTAAAGTATTTAGTATTTTTCTTTTAACAGCATCTTAAAGATACCAGGGTTTACGAAACAAGCGTTCTCGTCACTTCCGTCTTCACAGTCAGTTACACCGTCGCAACGTTTGTCCTCATCAACACACAACCCGTTGTCACATGCGAACCTTCCGGCAAGACAGATTATTTCAAAACCTAAAATACATGAATTTATAATTACTACGTACAGGCCCGTAGCCAGGGGGGGGGGGGGGGTTCGGGGGGTTCGAAAGAACCGCCCCTTTTGGTGGGAAAAGATCCACTCTGGGTAAAATTTGATCTAGGTTCATGAAGTTTTCATGGAAAAAGGTCCACTTTTTCAGAAAAAGAACCCCCCTTTTTAAATTTCTGGCTACGGGCCTGGCGTATGTTATATTCTGACAAAAAGTGACAAAGCTATAGGGCGCAAAACCACTTTTAAGTTTAAGTTAACTAAAATTACGTAAAAAAGATATTCCCGGCAATACATTTTGTCAAAAAAAAGTCCGATAGATTGTTATCATGAAAAAAAAACATGACTCTTATAGAACTGTTTTACTGAATAATTATCTGCATGTAAATGGTAAACTGGAGTAACAAAAAGATATCTGACTATTTTCCGAAGAAAAGTTTGATACATTTTATAATTTCAGTTTCATGTATATTTTAACAGCGGAGTTTTATGTCTCCCAATTTCGATGAAACTATCGTTCAACGTAGATAGATTGAACTCCTCGGGGCCCCTGAATTCAATCAGGTTAAAAGATTAACACGCCTCCTCTTGTTTCTATAGTGAGCAAGCTAGCTTTACAGTGCCCTGACACTCAGGGCACTTGTTTCCAACGTCCTATACACCAGCTTTTCTGTATTCTACTCAACGATAAGGGGTGTGTTAATATCTTTATCTGATCAGTCTGATGGCATTCAGCGAGAGTCCCCGCGGAGTTAGATAGATCTGCAGAGAACGATAGTTTCATGGGGAACGGCGAAATTTCACCTACGTAATCGAAACCCGTCTCCAACAACAGAGTAGTCAGAGTGAAAGTGGATGGTCACGTTGCCGGAGGAGGCTATACTGGACACAGGAACTGTGCTGTTGCCACATACTTTTGAATCGATCATGAACTCATCAGCTACAATGTTTCCATCATAAAAGGCAAGCCAGTCATATTGACAGGGTGATGAAACCTCTATACTTCTTTCCACAACAACGACTCTGACCTAAATTGTGCAAACATAAAATATTTGGATACATTAGTTTCATGATAGAAATTTTGTCTTCGGAGACACCATTTGAAGAAGAGTCATTCATCTTAAAGAGATAACAACTGTTAACAGGAGATTCAAAATTCCCCAGTAAATACATTGTAAACAACACACAGAAATATAATAAATTCCATTTTAACAACAAAACAGCGGTTATTGCAATTATTCTGAAATATGCGCGTGCTATCAGACCACGTGTACCTTCATAGATGGCTACCCTCTTTAATTGTCTCTTAAATACCATGCTCAGTCTCTTCATATTATCTTCGTCTTATGGGTTGGGGCCAATATAACCCGTAACAGATTCGATAAGGCTCTGGTTTTATCTAATTTTATTCATTTATCATTTTTAATTTTAACATAATAATAATAATTACTATTATTATTATTATTATTATTATTATTATTATTAAAAGAACAGCTATGAGGGATCCAGAACAAGTTGATCTGCGAACTCACAGATCCGCAGATCAATTATGGCCTACCGACATAAAACGGAGCCGATTAAACCGCTGATGGCCACCCCGCCTCCGCACGCGCCATTTAAATGATTAAATCGCGGCTCCGAGGTTTAATTGCTAGACCCCTGCAGGGACGGCGCTTGTGGAGGCGGGAAGACCATCAGCGGATTAGTCGGCCATATTTGATCCGCAAATCTGATCCCACTCAGAATAGGGGGCTAACTAGTCCAATGGTCAAATATGGCCAAACCACTTGAATACTTCCCCACGGGGAATCAATTTAGTGACTATTAGTGGATTAGTGGGTGGCCATATTTGGCCCGTGGACTAGTTAGTCCACTGTTCCGAATGCAGCCTAAGAGGGCATTCAGAACAGCAGACTAATGGATCCGGGGATCAAATACGGCGACCCACTAAAAAGCTTGCTGCTTGATTCCCGATTAGACACTCCTGCGTAGATTATGCAACAAGCATTCAAGTGGGTCGGCCATATTTGATCCGCGGATCTGTTAGTCCGCTGTTCTGAATGCGTTCCTAGCCCTCAGATCAACTTGTTCTGAATGAGCGCTTTGATAAAAAGAGAAGAATGATACAATTCTTACCCTATCATGCCCTACTACCTTCCAGTAACAATTCCAGTCATTCCAATACCTTGAAAACTCCAAATTTTCGTTTTCTCCATTTAGAATTATAGTTGGTGCCGCAATCAACGGGAAACAACCTTGACAAATATTAAAATGCAAACAAAAGGCAATTCAAATAACGCTAATATTGCGCCTTTCTTTTACAATATACAACAAAAATGTAAATTGTTTTAAATGTTTTTGATTTACAAAGGTAGGCAACCTCTGTATCAGGTAAGCGATTAATAAACCAAAGAATTCATATTTTGATAATGAAAAGACACCAAATATACTTAAGCGAAAATAGACAATATCCCAAAGGTGCCCTGAGTGTAGGATAATAAAATCGATAACCTAGATGTCCTCAAACTCGTCTGAGCTTTCTATGGAGGTACCTACAAACTAGAATTCAAAATAATCCTAGCTCCAAATAAAACGTTCAACATATCAAACCTGAAAAATAGTGCTGGAGAGCAGACAAGGCCGTACCGTTCGCTTCAGGGCAGTTTGGTGAGCCAGTGCAGGTGGAGGTTTCTGTCAACGGCGAATTAGCGCAAGTGCCAGGGACCAAACAGTACCGCTCCCGTTGTTTTGTGCCTGTCCCACAGGAAACGGAGCATGAGCCCCACTGGCTCCATGGTGATAGTTGACCTGGTTATGGGTCATACATCACAGATATGTACTAAGTACTTGCAGTTTAATATCATAAGTAAAAGTTTTTTATATGCCCCTTTTTGAGAACATTACATGATATTTTAACATCGATTTTTCTTATATGTTTTTGAAAATACTTGTGAAACTTGTGTTTTAGATCTAGACACACATACAATTTTCCTAAGAAATTTTCATTTTACCATTTATCACCAAGTTATTTCCAATCCAAAACTGCTGGGAAAATTACGATTTAAATACCAGTTCTTAAATTCCCCAAGAGATGGAATCTATACTTTTTCTTTAAAAAATACATTTTTTCTGAATGAAAAGAAAATATGTCTGTAAACCTCACCTTGATTCTAGCCATCCCTGTATGGAGGCCACAGGTGTATATGGACTCTTGCCATGATGTCAAGACTAGCCATTTTAACACTCATTAATTCTAGTCATTACCTGTGCAGTCAGCGCCACATGCCTGTATCTGGAAGTTGCCTCCATTGCAGTCCGTCTCTCCACTCTCCGGCACAGGAGAGTTGCATCGCCGGGCCCGGGTTATCATGCCTGGGGAACATGGATTCGTGCAATCTGTCCAATCGGTCCACGGACTCCAGCCACTTACTGAAAGATATGAAGACGTATACCACCCTTTTAGGTGGAAATTGCCCACAACTTCCCTTTTTGTGGAGGAAAACACACGCACGATCATTTTTTGGTGTACATTGGCTATTCACATGAAAGGTTAAATGCATTAAATCCAAAACTGACAGTTTTTTATCACATGTTGTAGTCTCTAATAATATTTTTAAAAGATTCTCTTCGTTGTGTACTCTTATCAGGCAGATCTGGTTAAGGGCAGACGTCGAGTCGCCAAGGAAGATTTCAGAATATCAGGCTCGTTAAAATATATTGATAGGACTGAATTTAATTAATTTGCATATCTGCTTCGATCCTTAAACACGCAAACTAAGAACGTTTAGGTTAAATATGAGATCAATTAAGAACAGATGCTTGCAAAATGCCCAAACATTTCCCAACATTATGCTCGTGGATCAAATAATATAATAGAGTAATTCATCAAGACAAAGAGCTGAATAAACGCGTGCTTACGTACACACGCAACCTGCTCGAACCCCCTCGTCTGCGGCGTCCGGGCAATGTGGAATGCCATCGCATATGTTATCTGGATCGACGCACTCCCCATTTGTACACAGGAACTGCTGCGAAGTCGGAAGGCACGAAAATATACCTGTGAATATGGTGTCGGTACATTAAATTGACTGTAACTTTCCATTTGGGTTCTTCTGTTAAGGTATTTCAAATGAACACAGTTAGCGTTTGACCCTTATAAAGCAAAAAGGACAATTTTGCTAACAAATTTCAGTTAACCATTTATCACCAAGTTATTCCCTACCCAAAACCGTTGGGAACATTACGATTTTTATACCCTCTACCATTCTTAAATTCTACGTTCTTAAATTCTCTACAATTAAACTGTTTACCGGACCGAATGATATTCACAAGTCCAAATTTCAATAACTAGAGTGATATTCAAACGTGATGACCGAAAAAGTGTTGAGATTTCCTGCCGTACAAAGGTCGAACGCTCATGTGGTGGATGTAATTAAATTAAACTCGTTTTATTGTATAAATAAAAGTTTCATACTGAGTAAGGATAGGTTACCTATATATTTACAGTGTACATATAACAGGGGTTCGACAAAAATCTGGTGACAAAAAGTAAGAAGCTATTTTTTAACGCAAAAGTTAACCTTTTGAAATTTTGTGGTTCATTTTACTTTGATCCATCTTGAACGTACGTGCTTTAAATCCGCTTCTCACAATAGAACCGTCTGAATAGAATCGCATCAGTGTAGTGGTTCCTTTCTCCAAAAGGATAGGTTGTGGAATATTATTGCCGGTGCGTTTAGCTATTTGTTGATCAGATGTGGAATTTCCAGCGTACAGGTACACAAAGTCATAACCCTGCTCCAAGTTGAACTCTTCAAAACTGAGCAACGTCTATACAGTAATATTCAAAAGTAAATGGCGTCTTCATAACAGATTGTTTTAATGTTGATAAAACAATTATTTTTACATAACATTAATTTCTTCCTCCTCCTCTGAAGCTTTTCAATTTATTAAATTGACTTAGGACGAGTGCAGTGTGCATTTTTTCACAGACCTTCGTTTCACTGCTAGTTAGAGCTACCCTTGGAAGCCTGTATTGTTTAGTATGGCAAAATTATCATTTTACGTTTTTCTATCACGAATTTCGCTTAAATATTCTTACCTAGAGGTCATCCATTTTATCATCATTTTCACAAGTCTACAAAATGCACGCTTGGGGGGAGGGGGGGGGGTAAATCCCTCTGTACGCTTGTCATAGGTCACCGTTTTTTTGTTTTTCGCCTTGTAATCTTGGAAGGAGGGAGGGTGGTCTAGAAAAAGTCTACTCTTTGTTGACTAATGAAAAATGATGATAAAAATGGACGACCCCTTACTTCTTCCTCTGCCAAAATAATCCAGAAGCAATTCAAGCCGTTGTTGTAGTTAACGCCTGGAAATGGCTCCAGTACGTAGATAGCCGTAAGTATAGCTGGGTTACCACTGGGTGGGCATGAAGTTTCTAAACGAGGAAATAAAATTGCAGTTTCAGTGTGTGTGTGTGTGTGTGTGTGTGTGTGTGTGTGTGACTTAAATCTACCATATCTGAAACACTTCAAAATGCCACGGATTAGAAGAAAACATTAAACATTTTATCAAATGTAGTGAAAATAAATTCACAGCCAGAATAATGTTGATACATTTCAGTCCATGTCGTAAATGACATCTTACATGACAATGCATTAACAGAAATTTCTGATTAATATGTAAATATCAAAATAAATATTGTGAATACATCTATATGTGTTATTGTTTGTTGTATTTTCCTTCTGCCAATTTATGTGGTTGTGAGTTTAGTGCATGCACAAATGTTGCCCAGTTAAGCTGCTTGCACGTTTGTCAATATTATCAAAACACTGAACGATCACACAATATTGAATGGTAATAGTGAATGACAATTGTGAATGGTAGTAAAACACAGGTTTATAAAACAAATGTACACCCAAACCCAATATAGAGGTGCAAATGAGGTTACAGATATGATCTTAAAACATTTAGTGCACAGATTACAAATTATGTTTGATTATTTTAGGGTCCCACAAGAAGAAGTTTGTGTCAAATTTTAACTGTTCTGGAACCATGAATGAAAGATAATTCATATCTAACCCCAAAAAGGAGCAAACGTTACTGACACAAATGCAAAACGTCCAGCTGTGGAAACGTTTTACTCACTTAATTTATCTCCTATAACGTTGTCAAAATTATGATAATCTTGTGTAGAGCAGTTAATTTTTTGAGCGACTTTAGATTGCTCCTCACTAAACATTATAAAAGGGGGAATACACCCTTCTGACAGTAAAAAAAGCATTAAATAAACCATTTTCCATTCGTGGTCCAAATGTTATATCAGAAATGTCAAACTATCATGGAATCAGTATATTTTTCAGGCAGGTTTTCTGTTGCACCAAGTACTTGGGCAAAATGAAACTTTCTGACAATTTTTCTGGGGAACATACGTTGCGTATTATGAGCCATGACGCAAAGCCTTTGAGTTACAGTTTAGATATTTATAAAATATCCTTACGCCATATATAATTTATCATGGCCGAATTACTATAAAATATTTCGGCAGGTGATATAAAAAACAAAATTATATGACCTTGAAGATACGTTACCATTTAGGTTCCTTACATAATGTATATACGGCAAAAATTAAATGTAGATGTAAAATTGAGATAGCCTTGGATTTTTGTTCTATACGCATATATGTTTTAAGAAGTTGAGTACAACTTCGAATTCATTCAGTTTGATTTTTTGATACTTCAGCATGTGAAATGCACCTCTATATTGGGTTCGGGTGGTAAATGACCGATCAGAGACCTGAATTTCTACAAAAGGTATGGTAATGTAGGACAGCGCATGTAGTTTCCTTTAAGAGAAATTTAACATCAATGTATGGAGATATGCTGACACAGATAGTGCATGCAATACAATGTCAGGACTTACCCTGGCACGACTGCATGGCGCATGCGCTGGTCTCAGTGTTGCTGCCACTGCACGTGTTTCCACCGGAAGTTGGCGGTGGCTTGTCGCATTGCCTTAAACGACTCCGGGTTCCTTCACCGCACGTAGCAGAACAGCTAGACCAAGAGCCCCAAGTACCCCATTCTCCGTGGACTAAATCATATAATAAAACTGTATTTAAGTAACCAAAGGCACTTTTGGTTAATCCCCGTGATCTCTGTGCGCCAAACTGCACTTATAAGAGAACAAAACGGAACCGATTGTGTCGTATTTTGAGAACTCCCCCCTCTCCCCCCTTGCAATGCAGTGAATGAGTCTTACCCGGGCATGGCTGCATATTGCATAGCCGAGACTTGTAACTGATGCCACTGCACGGATTTCCTATACTACTAGGAGGTGGGTCGTTACATTGCCGTGAACGACTCTGAACCCCTCCCCCGCATGTGGCAGAACAGTTAGACCAAGAACTCCAGGTGCTCCATCCTCCGTGGACTATACAAAGGCAGAGAGCAAAGAAAATATCTAAAATATTATTTAACGTTGCTGCTATGCTAACAAGAACGTTTTTTAGTTCTAACCAAAGGTAATAAATCTTCTTTGAAAAAAAAGAACTTGAGAAACTAATATTACAATTTCGACTTGATAAATATTTTATTTTGACCTATTGCTTACCGATACAAGGAGTTGTATTACATTGCCGGGACTGGTCACCGCTGCCGCTACATGTGTTTCCACCGTTACTTGGTGGGGGGCTGTCGCACTGCCTCTCACGGTTTTGGATCCCTTCACCGCAAGTGACGGAGCAAGTTGACCAAGAACTCCATGAACTCCATTCGCCATGAACTACACCACCAGCTGCATGATTAAAAAGCCGATTTATTATTTATATTTTAATTTATATTTTTATTTATATCGATATAATAGGTATATTAGGAAACATACTTAAAGGGATAATAACTCTTCATATGAGATCTATATTTCACAATAAAAACATTGTGAACAACTCATAGAAATATAACATATTCTGTTTGGATGGCTATACTCTGTTATAATCTCTTAAGATCTCTTTTTACAAAAAATTCAGGGACTAACTTTGAATGTAGAAATTGATTCATTAACCATTGGGAAATATGGGGAAATTGTTTACTCTAGGAAAATTCTTTTTTTTTTTTTTTTTTTTTTTTTTTTTTTTTTTTTTTTTTTTTTTGCCAAAACGAAGAGTTATTATCCCTTTAATGATGGGACAGGCCCGTAGGTCGGAAGGTTTGGGTGATTCGAAAGACCCTCCCCTCTTTTTTGCCGGGAAAAGATCCCCTCTGAGTAAAATTTTATCTGGGCACACGAAGGTTTTATGGTAAAAGGTCCATTTTTTTTTTTTAGAAAAAAGAACCCCCCTTTTGAAATTGCTGGCTACAGGCCTGATGGCAGGAGAAGGATGTCTCATGGCATAAGATTCTCTTATATGCACCAACGAATAACCCAAGGATGTAGCAAGTGAAGCATTCCGTAAATTAAATGCAAATAACAAAAGCAAGCATACATGTACGTGTGTTATTGTTAACTATATTTATGTCGACTTACCTTTTATTACGTCGTAACTTAGAACGAACCCTGCCTTCCGTACGCTTCCATCAGTTTCAAACACGAGCATCATTTCGTTGCTATGTGTTTTAACCTCACCAGAGATATCATTTAATTTCCCACACCATGTACCCAACAGAAATTTGTCTTGAACACTGGACCCTGCATATATTTTTAAGTGATCCCATGGGCAACTACTGGAGCCGGCTTCAACGTCGAACATTATTGCTCTAAGCCGAATCCCCTGCAAATGTGTATTTTAAAATAAGATGCTAGATCAGTGGAATTATTTACGTCTTTATGAAAAACATATACGGTCAAACCAGATATAACCAAAAAGAATATCCTCTACCACGGCCGCAGTTTTTATTATGTGGACATTTTCTTTGACGTTCACAGTACAGAGAATAAACGTCAATTTATTCAGAGACATATCTGTGAATATCTGATGGCCCTGGTAGAGGGTAAAAAAAAAACCCCGAACTGGGGCTAGACCTACGTACCTCCCCAGTCTGCGACTTTATCGACCAACGACAGTTGAGTCCATTGTCATATGTGGCTCCTGCGAACGGGGACAGAATGCCTGGTACACTGTATACTGGCGTTTCTCCACTGCAGCCATTTCCACCATCATCTAAAATAAGAGCAGTGAGGATTATGCGCTATTTTGGAGAGGTATTGTTTATGTCGCTACATGCCGTCCGGCACTGAGAAAACGCCTGACACTTGTCTAAGTGGTTATTGTTAATGATAATTGCTGTCGAAAAATGCTTTGTCGAATTTTTTGATAATTTAAAAATTACAAAAATAAATTTCACTTCTTTAAAAACTATCGCATTCGTACAACGCAATCTGAGTTTGAAACAACATGCAAGTTTTTCTTCGTATACCATCATTTTGCCAGTACAGCTAAATAGTCCTTAACATGCTCCAATCACTGTCACAGTGGCTATTCGCACAGTAAAGTTTGCAATGAAAATGTTCAACATGTCATGGGAAATTCACCTAAGCTATGCCTATCCCGTTTGTTTTTTTTTTTCCTGTGATGATACCTTAAACACTATGCCAACAATCCCCAAACTATGGATGCTGATAATAATTATTTAAAGTCTAAAATCCTTTCTTAAATAAAAAAAAATGTTCAGTACGCTTTAACACTACCACATTTACATAATTCTCTGAAAAGCCTATCGCCAAATAAGAATCTCCAATACCCACTTACCTACAGAATCAACGGTGCGGTATGAAAACTGAAAACCTCTGCCTTCTTCTGAGACATCAGAATGGAACTTGATGGTCAGGTCATTCGAGGACAGTACGGCTGTGTATTCTCCCCCACATTTTTTCTGATCACTATCACCGCTACCGGTAATCAAGAGCCAGTCAAACAGACAGTTGTTGCTGGTATGACCCTCTAGGTCCATGGAGATCGAAGACAAGAGGATTTTCTAAAAATTGTAGTGGTTAAGTAAAAGAAAATGCAGTTATTAATTATGCCATATTATTGGTTGGTTAGTTTTGGTTTAATGTTTGGGAGCTGCTGCGAGATATCATCGCTATTATGTTTTTCTTTTTTAGTGTTTTATTACCTACATAGTAAAACACTGATCTGACTAATGATAGCTTGAATGATAAAGTATCACATCAATTTTACCTTTCTTCCCCCTAAAAAGAAATGTATTACAAAATAAATAATCGAGAGAGAGAGAGAGAGAGAGAGAGAGAGAGAGAAAGGTAGGGGTGTCAGATAGATCTTATTTAAGTGATTTTGAAAGAAGCTACAACTTAAACAACGACGTTTTAATAAACACGGTAGTTAAAAATGTTGATAGCTTCCATCACATCAACATCGATCTCCATAGAAGTATTAGTAGAATTTATCATTGATGGGTAATGACATGAAACGACTGTCTTACCCTCCCTGGTTCTGGGTGGATATGCCATATGCAATTGGCATTACTGGGGTACAAGCCAGGAAATCCTGGGGAAGCGAAGGAACCTTGTGAGTCGTACAGTGACAAGCCTTCTGCTGCACCGCACGCTGTGGCAATTGGGTTGAAAACTAAACAAATTGAAACTTGCACGTTATTAATTTTTACGAAAAATAAAGAAGAATCTATGTTAAAGAAAGGAAGTCGAGGAGATCCTATCCACCCCCTGTAAGATATATATGCATTTAACCGATAAGGAGTTCATGATTTTTTCCAATGAAAATTGAAAATTTAGCTAGAAGACCCATTCCCAATAAAACTGTCGTTTAAGTAGATCGATCCAACTATGAGGGGACTCTCACTGAATGCAATCAGACTATCAGATTACCACGCCTCATCTTGGCGCTTTATGAAATACAGAAAAGGGGTGATAATACAAGTATGTCGGAAACAAGAGGAGGCGTGTCAATCTGATTGCATTTAGCGAGAGTCTTGGCAGAGTTGGGCCAATCTACGTAGAACAATAGTTTGATTGGGAATGAGCCCTGAGGTTTGGCTGGGAAGCCCGATTTAAACAACATAGCAGTACAAATGGCTGGAATACAGACCAGGGGCACTTAGGAAATCTCACCAGCATTTGGATCCACAGCTTCCCAAACAACAACAAATCCTCGGTCAGATATCGACGAATCAGAACGGAACATGACGTAGCCGACTTCGTGGGTCGTCATAAAAGAGACGGTTGGGTCGCTCAGAACACCACATAGCTTAGTAAGTCTAGGTGACGATAAGTCTTCACCGTTGTGAATGGAGACGTAGTCATAGGCACAGGAAAGGTGATCTTCCACTGCGAAACTTTGGAAGTGGAATCGAATCACCTACAGAGAAGAAGGTAGATGAATTTTTTGGTTTCATCTAAAAATTAACGAAATCAAATAGATAAAGTGCATTAATGATTAAATTTTATATATTGCCAATTTAAGTTACTCGTCGGTCTGGATTTCCAGATGTCTTTTGCGTCATCAATATTATTCAAAAACTGAATCACTCATTTGGAAATATATACACATATACACCCTTCTATATGTGTACACAAGATCCACTTCCACACTTTTGTAGATTTAACGATGTCCTAGGCGGTAAAACCTTATTAATCCTGGTAAAACAAACGATTCAGAATGACAAAATTTAGACCTGACAGAAGGATTATCGATCTTCTTCAATAAAAACATTAATTGTTAAATTCTAAAATTCAATAATTAATAAAATTCTAATACTTTTCCAACAGGCACGGTTATCATCCAAGCACAATTCTGACTTAAGTCATAATCAGTGAGTCCAAGTGTTCCGCCATTTCCCTGCAGATGTTCTGGGCGAAGATGACTCTCACATGCCGGTGGGGTTGTTAAAGAGACGGCGCGCTCATAACGCGACTGTGAGGTTTCCAATAAGCCTCCCTCCGTCTCACTCCCTGTATTTTAAAACAATATCAAAATTAGGTGCGAAACTGGACAGTTATGTTGGTAAATGCACATAAACATCAGGCCCGTAGCCTGAGCAAAATGGCAGGGGGGGCAGTAAGTGGACATGAGGGGGCGAAGCCCCTGAGGGGGGAGGGTGTGGAAAATTTTTAAAAACTGTATGTATAATACTGTATTCTGGTGCATTTTAACTGTTATTTATTGCTCAATCAGAAGTCAGAAATTGTGGGTTCATTTTGCCATAAGTACAGTCATTTTTTTAGCAGAACACGCCAATTGGCTTGGGGGATAGCTCCCTAAGGGAGGGTGAGCTTTTTGGCATGAAGTGAGTTGGCTAAAAACAGTACACCTTTGTAAACATATTGTTGAATGATTGTCTAGTGGCCATGAGTGCATTTTCTCACAGAATTGATACCAACAATTTTTTTTACATTTGTGACTATTTTTTCACCTCAAATCCCAGGGGGGGCAACTGCCCCCCCCCCCTGCCCCCCCCGGAGGCTACGGTCCTGAACATACATAAATATATAGGATGAAATTTTGAGTAACAGATTCAAGGAAGTCAAGTTGAAAAGTCACTTATTTTTGCAATTTTCAAATATCCTCAGCACTAGGAGTGGTCAGTCTGAAAGTATATCTGGTGAACGACCTACTGTATGTATATTTATATGTAACAGGAGTTTAAATGTTCAATGCAATCGATACAGCAAAGGTCCATTTTTACGACAATATGACATAAAGTAATGACAGGCGTTTTCAGGAAAGGTTACAATTAAGAGCTGGCATATTACTAATGTTATAGTATTTAAAGTTACAATATTTGCAACAGAAAAAAAACTTTGTTGAACTCATCTTGTCAACTATATATATAACCTCACAGATATGAATAAAACCGACTTTTAGCATAAATATTTTTTTTCTTTTTTGTTATTAGACTGTGTCTGATTACGTTATTTTCCTCTAACGACTACATCTTTATTATTTTCTAAACAAATCTGATTGCCAGCTGCAAGGGGCACTGAAAACTGTTCGATCAACGGTCCTGAATGTAATCATGTTCAGTCAACGAATATTATGCACTTGGTAGGCCTCACATACCCTCTACTTTTTTAGGTGAACTTTTCTCTGACACAGTGCAGAAAACTCCATCATTTGACTGGTATAGAGACATAACTGTGAATATCTACCGAAAAATCCATCTGTGACCCTGGTAGAGGGTAATAAACCTCGATAGACATTCTAAACTGAATGCTGTGGAAAATGTACCAGAGTTGGACACTGTGTATAGCTGTGGTGTGATACATAAATCCCAAGGGACGGGCTATCTTAGCTCTTAGTCTTTTGCTATGTCGGAGCTCTATTTTCTCCCATAAATTTGCTAAACATTTTCAGAATCTTCACCTATTTCATTATATCGTTCTTGCACGCCATTTACCTATGCCCATTAAGACACACTGGAGCACTATCAGAAGGGGTCCTCTGATTGGGAGTGGCAGTAATACTTGCATCGTGTCTGCTTACTACCTTACACGTTATTCCTCGCACTCCTTTTTCCAGTCCCAGCCGGCCTACTCACACTGTCACATTCACAGTCGTAGAGAGTTCAGAGTAGCGATGGTGACGAAATCCGTTTTGCAGCTGATGTGCGTTCAGCAAGTCCGTTTTCGACACGCTCTATTTCCTGGCGTTCAGCCACTGAGAAGTTTTCTCTTGGTCAAGGAGCGTGATTGGGAAATAGTAGCGCATTCCGCGCAATGACGTACTGTCGATAAATGATACAAAAATCTAAAAAGGTTTGCATGACTCCTACGGATAGCAGACGCATTTTACCGCAATATTCAGAATTATTTAATTGGTACTTTTTAAAATGTTCCTTATAACGTTCTAACAAATATTATTCATGTCGCTGGAACGTGTTATTGCTATCTTTTTGAGCAGAGTTTGTTACTTAAAACCGAACATTAAACCGTGCTCGATGGGATTAATGTGGTTTATCTTCTATTGTTAAAATATTGCAATAAAATTGGAACTGATGAAGTGGGGCTCAGAAGATCCTTTGCAGACCCTTGTACGGACTGGTCTGTCTCATCTCTTTAAACCCTAATTACCAGAGACAACCAGTTAATCTGCACGTTTGTTATCGTCAAGTGGTCGATCGTGAATCGATGTAATGTTGGTTGAGTTTAATANTTGAAAACCTCTGCCTTCTTCTGAGACATCAGAATGGAACTTGATGGTCAGGTCATTCGAGGACAGTACGGCTGTGTATTCTCCCCCACATTTTTTCTGATCACTATCACCGCTACCGGTAATCAAGAGCCAGTCAAACAGACAGTTGTTGCTGGTATGACCCTCTAGGTCCATGGAGATCGAAGACAAGAGGATTTTCTAAAAATTGTAGTGGTTAAGTAAAAGAAAATGCAGTTATTAATTATGCCATTGCTTATTGGTTGGTTAGTTTTGGTTTAATGTTTGGGAGCTGTTGCGAGATATCATCGCTATTATGTTTTTCTTTTTTAGTGTTTTATTACCTACATAGTAAAACACTGATCTGACTAATGATAGCTTGAATGATAAAGTATCACATCAATTTTACCTTTCTTCCCCCTAAAAAGAAATGTATTACAAAATAAATAATCGAGAGAGAGAGAGAGAGAGAGAGAGAGAGAGAGGTAGGGGTGTCAGATAGATCTTATTTAAGTGATTTTGAAAGAAGCTACAACTTAAACAACGACGTTTTAATAAACACGGTAGTTAAAAATGTTGATAGCTTCCATCACATCAACATCGATCTCCATAGAAGTATTAGTAGAATTTATCGTTGATGGGTAATGATATGAAACGACTGTCTTACCCTCCCTGGTTCTGGGTGGATATGCCATATGCAATTGGCATTACTGGGGTACAAGCCAGGAAATCCTGGGGAAGCGAAGGAACCTTGTGAGTCGTACAGTGACAAGCCTTCTGCTGCACCGCACGCTGTGGCAATTGGGTTGAAAACTAAACAAATTGAAACTTGCACGTTATTAATTTTTACGAAAAATAAAGAAGAATCTATGTTAAAGAAAGGAAGTCGAGGAGATCCTATCCACCCCCTGTAAGATATGTATGCATTTAACCGATAAGGAGTTCATGATTTTTTCCAATGAAAATTTAAAATTTAGCTAGAAGACCCATTCCCAATAAAACTGTCGTTTAAGTAGATCGATCCAACTATGAGGGGACTCTCACTGAATCCAATCAGACTATCAGATTACCACGCCTCATCTTGGCGCTTTATGGAATACAGAAAAGGGGTGATAATTCAAGTATGAAACAAAGGGGAGGCGTGTCAATCTGATTGCATTTAGCGAGTCTTGGCAGAGTTGGGCCAATCTACGTAGAACAATAGTTTGATTGGGAATGAGCCCTGAGGTTTGGCTGGGAAGCCCGATTTAAACAACATAGCAGTACAAATGGCTGGAATACAGACCAGGGGCACTTAGGAAATCTCACCAGCATTTGGATCCACAGCTTCCCAAACAACAACAAATCCTCGGTCAGATATCGACGAATCAGAACGGAACATGACATAGCCGACTTCCTGGGTCGTCATAAAAGAGACGGTTGGGTCGCTCAGAACACCACATAGCTTAGTAAGTCTAGGTGACGATAAGTCTTCACCGTTGTGAATGGAGACGTAGTCATAGGCACAGGAAAGGTGATCTTCCACTGCGAAACTTTGGAAGTGGAATCGAATCACCTACAGAGAAGAAGGAAGATGATTTTATTGGTTTCATCAAAAAATTAATGAAATCAAATAGATAAAGTGGATTAATGATTAAATTTTATATTGCCAATTAAAGTTACTCGTCGGTCTGGATTTTCCAGATGTCTTTTGCGTCATCAAGATTATTTAAATACTGAAGCACTCTTTTTGAAAATATATACACCCTACTATATATATAAATACACGATTTACACTTCCACACTTTTGTAGATTCAACGATATCCTAGGCTGTAAAACAAACGATTCAGAATGACAGAATTTAGACCTGACAGAAGGATTATCGTTCTTCTTCAATAAAAACATTAATTGTTAAATTTTAAAATTCAATAATTAATAAAATTATAATACTTTTCCAACAGGCACGGTTATCATCCAAGCACAATTCTGACTTAAGTCATAGTCAGTGAGTCCAAGTGTTCCGCTATTTCCCTGCAGATGTTCAGGGCGAAGATGACTCTCACATGCCGGTGGGGTTGTTAAAGAGACGGCGCGCTCATAACGCGACTGTGAGGTTTCCAATAAGCCTCCCTCCGTCCCACTCCCTGTATTTTAAAACAATATCAAAATTAGGTGTGAAACTGGACAGTTATGTTGGTAAATGCACATAAACATACATATATATAGGATGAAATTTTGAGTAACAGATTCAAGGGAGTCGAGTTGAAAAGTCACTTATTTTTGCAATTTTCAAATATCCTCAGCACTAGGAGTGGTCAGTCTGAAAGTATATCTGGTGAACGATCTACTGTATGTATATTTATATGTAACAGGAGTTTAAATGTTCAATGCAATCGATACAGCAAAGGTCCATTTTTACGACAATATGGCATAAAGTAATGACAGGCGTTTTCAGGAAAGAGCTGGCATATTACTAATGTTATAGTATTTAAAGTTACAATATTTGCAACAGAAAAAACTTTGTTGAACTCATCTTGTCAACTATGTATAACCTCACAGATATGAATAAAACTGACTTTTAGCATAAATAATTTTTTTCTTTTTTGTTATTAGACTGTGTCTGATTACGTTATTTTCCTCTGACGACTACATCTTTATTATTTTCTAAACAAATCTGATAGCCAGCTGCAAGGGGCACTGAAAACTGTTCGATCAACGGTCCTGAATGTAATCATGTTCAGTCAACGAATATTATGCACTTGGTAGGCCTCACATACCCTCTACTTTTTTAGGTGAACTTTTCTCTGACACAGTGCAGAAAACTCCATCATTTGACTGGTATAGAGACATAACTGTGAATATCTACCGAAAAATCCATCTGTGACCCTGGTAGAGGGTAATAAACCTCGATAGACATTCTAAACTGAATGCTGTGGAAAATGTACCAGAGTTGGACACTGTGTATAGCTGTGGTGTAATACATAAATCCCAAGGGACAGGCTATCTTAGCTCTTAGTCTTTTGCTATGTCGGAGCTCTATTTTCTCCCATAAATTTGCTAAACATTTTCAGAATCTTCACCTATTTCATTATATCGTTCTTGCACGCCATTTACCTATGCCCATTAAGACACACTGGAGCACTATCAGAAGGGGTCCTCTGATTGGGAGTGGCAGTAATACTTGCATCGTGTCTGCTTACTACCTTACACGTTATTCCTCGCACTCCTTTTTCCAGTCCCAGCCGGCCTACTCACACTGTCACATTCACAGTCGTAAGAGAGTTCAGAGTAGCGATGGTGACGAAATCCGTTTTGCAGCTGATGTGCGTTCAGCAAGTCCGTTTTCGACACGCTCTATTTCCTGGCGTTCAGCCACTGAGAAGTTTTCTCTTGGTCAAGGAGCGTGATTGGGAAATACTAGCGCATTCCGCGCAATGACGTACTGTCGATAAATGATACAAAAATCTAAAAAGGTTTGCATGACTCCTACGGATAGCAGACGCATTTTACCGCAATATTCAGAATTATTTAATTGGTACTTTTTAAAATGTTCCTTATAACGTTCTAACAAATATTATTCATGTCCCTGGAACGTGTTATTGCTATCTTTTTGAGCAGAGTTTGTTACTTAAAACCGAACATTAAACCGTGCTGGATGGGATTTATGTGGTTTATCTTCTATTGTTAAAATATTGCAATAAAATTGGAACTGATGAAGTGGGGCTCAGAAGATCCTTTGCAGACCCTTGTACGGACTGGTCTGTCTCATCTCTTTAAACCCTAATTACCAGAGACAACCAGTTAATCTGCACGTTTGTTATCGTCAAGTGGTCGATCGTGAATCGATGTAATGTTGGTTGAGTTTAATAAATGACATCGTGCGTAACGTAATATGAAAGGCTCAGCTTGGCAAAATATTAGGGAGCTTATTTAAATGAGTACTGCTTTTGTTTAAATATTTTTAAACTGTTGCTTCCTTTCAAAACCTGTCCCAAAATTTTAATACGGTCCAAAAGCTCGAAAAATCTGTTCACTGAATGACTCGGTGCGATATCTGGTGTTTTTAAATTCAATTTATTTATCTACATCTTTTCTGCAAAATTCTTTAGTTAAAATACTAAAAACTAAATGCTTTAATCCCCTTCTCCAGCAAACTGCACATTTGCTGCAAACCACAGGGAGGAAAAAAGGAAATATTTGCGCGTATACTTGACAAGAAAATGAACAGCCTGTGGTTGAATTCATAAAATTTATTTCGAAAATTTATTTTAACACAGTTTTCAGAAGCAATTGAAATTTTATTAATTTTTTCATTGGCAATAGTTCTTAGATAAAAAAATGCAATTTTATTTAAGGTCAGTGACATAAATTTCATGTTTCGTGTGAGAGTTTAAAAAAGAGAAAAATGTCAACAACAAGACCCATTTAGAATAACAATATTCAAAATCTGAATTTCGTTTAAAATGTTAAAACAATGAACATGCCTTAATATAAATATCTTTTCCAAAGACGTTTAAAACAATGAACATTCCAAAATGCAGTGAATCGTCATGGCGTCGGATAGGCAGTTTTAGTTATTCTGCATCTTCTCGTTAACCCAGTCGACCAGGGTGGAGACCTTGGCGTACACCCCCGGGTATCCGGCTGCCGCACAGCCCCTACCCCAGCTGGTTAGGCCCATTAGCTTCCACCTTTCGGAAGAACCAGTGCCGAACTTGCACACCAGAGGACCGCCAGAGTCACCCTGAAATGACAAGATAGTTGTTAAAATGACTTAAAACACGTAAAAAACAAGGACTATTGATCCCGTAATATAACTGAAAATCTTAGTCTTCGCAAGTTGACAATAAATTGCCAATATTCTTTTTTAACCTTACACGTGGAACCAAACGAGTAACACATTCAAATAGTGGTGAGTTACAGCTGACAAAAAAAAATTTTAATCAGACGACTTTGTACAATATGCAAATACGCTAACTATTTATTGTAAGTTACCTGACAAGCATCTTTTCCAGCTTCGCCGGCACAGACAGACGTGTCAGCAATACTGTTGTAATTCGAATCACTTCTACACGTGGTTGTTTTGATGTAGTCAACACGGACCTCCCTCAGAACAGTGCTGGTACTCCCTGTAACGAACCAAAAACCTCCTCAATTTGAAATCATAGTAATCAGACGTGCTTCGCACCCTTTTTGCTTACAAAATGCATTGCTTTGAATCCTAGCTACTACCACATTCTAGGTCATACATTTTAAATTCATACAAGTTCTTAAAAAAAAACAGATCAAGGAATTTCAATTGAAAAACAAACCCAATAAGAAGCCCAAGCACGGAAAATGTAGCATTACCTCCAGAAGACGTTGTGCCCCAGCCTGTAGTCCAACACTCGTGCCCGTCGTTGAGTTCCTCACCACTGGCGGGGAGGCAAGCTATGTTGCGCTCAGCCGACAAGGTGACGGGAGAACTGAGTTTCACCAGAGCAATGTCGTAACCAGACACCACCCCGCTGTAACTCTCGTGCTTGATAATTCTGCTGAGTGACTTTGTCACCTGGGCGCTTTCAGTGGTACTCCTACTGTGGTCACCTATGATTGCCTGATAGCCTGTGGGACTTGTGCTACAAGAAAAACATTTTTTCCTTTAATATAATTGTATGGAGGCGGCATATAAATTCTTAATAACTATGTCACTAATAAAACGAACAAAAAATACTAAAGAAGGAAAGAAAATAGCAGATGCGCCTGCATGATATAATTGAGTTGTACATGGTCAGAGAACTAAGCTATACCCAATTATATATTAATGGCATATAAAGTATACATTGATGACCTTACCTTTGAATGCAATGCGCGGCCGTCAGCACCCACTCGTCAGTTATGAGAACACCGCCGCACATATAACCGGGGGGAATGTACATGCGTACCTGCCATGGCCATGAATGGGGCGTGGCTTCAGTGCCCCCGACAATCGCTGCAGACGGGCCGCTATTTCGGATACCACACTCTAGAAAAGTAATGCAGACGTAAGTAATCCACCTGCGGCTTTGTTTAAATGCAAGTTGCATTCATTTATTTGCGAGTATAAAACTTGGTATAATCAAGGAGTTCTGTTGTAACTCCTTGGTATAATTTCTCATAATGGAGCCCTAAAATTTGCTCGCCTGCAGTAATGTTGAAGAGTTATGACAATTATTTTATCTTTTGTTAGCATACTTAGTAATTACTAATAATTCACTTTAAGTAAGACATATCAAAGATGCTGACCGTAATTTTCATGAAACCACGCTGTTAATTGGAAAAAAACACTCACGGGAGAGGTCTGGGAAGCAAGACGACGGTTCATCACTGCCATCCTGACACTGAGTAACGTTATCACACCTTGCTCCAGATACGCATTGGCCATTATCACACCGATATTCGCTGGAACCGCAAGCTTCACTGAAAGCTGCAAGGAGATACGTACATGTTATGGTAATACAACATCTTCCATGTGCACAGAATATCGTACAACTCTGCAGGGATATCATGCTGAGCTGAAGATTGCCCTTTCATAAAAACTTTTAAAAATCAAATATGATAAACATCAACAGCTATTTGTTTTTCCGTGTCTAAGAATTTGAACATATAAATTATTTGCTTTATAACCATAATTTAACAACTTACTAAGTTTGAATCCACTGCGGACTTCTGAGTAGTCGGAGTGAAATTTGACCAGTACAGTATTGGACTTGGATACCCTGGCGGAGGGCGTGGAGGTTCCGCACACTTTCCCACCAATAACAGTACCGTCGACAGTGGAACCGTCAAAGAACTCTAACCAGTCGTATGCACAGCTGGAGTGACTTTCAATCGATACAGCATTAAAGTTGATCTCAATCTAAAAATAAATAGCAAAACGTTGTTAACATTATTCAGGTATGTAATTGTTTGTTATCTTCAAAGTATTTATAAACACAAACAGCACCGGTAAAAGCTACTTGCCGTGTCTTATTCACACAACATTGACTTGGGCAGTTAAAGGGGTTAACGGCGTTTAGTTTGCCGCGCTTCAGTATAATTAAGAAAGAAATATTATAGTGTCTACATGTAATCACGACTTACCTGGGCGGATGCTTCAACGAGCCAGAAGCAGTCCATGTCGTTCTGATAATTCGCATTTGGCCAGGGTTCGAAAATCTCGTCCGCAGAGCCAACGGTAATAACCCTAGGGGAAGTTTCTGGCGGGCAATCTGAAGTATTACGTATAAATGTTAACAAGGGGGTTCCATGCTTTACATAAAAATCCGTGCTTGCGGACTAGTAAACATTTTAAAACCTAGATTCTTGATTCTTTCTTTCATTCTTCTTACGATATGTCATATTTAATTTTTTGGAAATATTCACATCTTATCATTTTCATTATACTATACGCTTTAAAGGTGCCAAGCGACGCGTATCACAACGTAAACACACATACCGAGACAAACTTGAGTATTACACGAAACGGAATCACTGCTGGCGCCGGGACAGTGTAGACTTGGGTTGCCGCTTACACAAGATCTGGTGCGGGTTTTGGTACCGCCTCCACAGAGAACTGAACACGAGCTCCAAGAACCCCATGGCATCCATCCTGTGTAATAAACCACAATAATATGATTTTTTATTTATAACGAAAATGAAGTATGAAGACAAGATACCTTAGTCACGACTCACCTGACATTTGTAGGGAACCTAATTTTTTAATGTACAGTTCACAAAACAACTGGCAGAAACGTTAAGGGGCCACCAATGTGAAAGTCAAGGCTAGTTAATTAATATATTAGGTATTAAAAGGGAAATCCCCATTAATCCCCGCCTTACCGCAACCACCGTCTCCAGGTTCGTCACTGCCGTCGGAACACTGTGGCGTGTTGTCACAGACGTTGGCTCTTTCAATGCAGGTTCCATCGCCGCACCTGTGTTGATCCCCGGTACACAGCTTAGTGAAGGCTAAAATACAACAGGTAGTTCCATAAACAATGTGAACCGAGTCTCTATCCTCTTACGAAACGTGCTACATTCATATCAGCCATGTGTTCCTGTCAATGATGTAATTGCATTATGTTGCCTGAATAAGTAAATCATAGCTGTCATCGTTATTACGAAGATATATATATATATATATATATATATATATATATATATATATATATATACTTACTAATCTGGAAGCCAATATCGCTTGTGGAGCTACTCGAATGGAAATGCAACAGTATCTGGTTCTGCGTCGACTGGAAAGCTCCAGCGTATGTGCCGCAAATTTTATTAATTTGAGGGCTGCTTGTTTCGGGTCCGTCCCTTGCAATTAAATAGTCAGTGCCGCAGGTGGAACTATACTGTATACCAAGGTATTGGAACTCCGCTCTGATCTGTAATGGTATTATGTCCAACGTCAAGTAGTTGAAAATCCCCCCGCGCTCAACTTTTATGCTAAATTTTCATTACATACGACGCGAGTTCAACTATCCACAATGTGAAGCAAAAAATTCCAACTACTAAAATGTGTTCTTGAACTCAGGAAACAAGAATCTGTCGGAGGGAAACGAGGCTGATGCTAGGAGAAAAACTTAAATGTGGGGACATATAATCGTCTCACCTTGGTATCTGATTGAACGAGCCAGTAACAGTCCAAATTAGCGCCGTAATTTGCCCCGGGGAATGGCTCCAAAATTTGACCATCATCGGTTATTGTGATAACTGCTGGATTAGATGCAGGTTGGCACACTGAAATAAATCCGTTTATAAAAATCTAGACAGGTAGGCCACAATGCAATGCAGAACAACTGTACTGAAGATTGTGCGGTGTTGTAATCGAACAATTGAGAGTTCAAACATATGTTTAACACCCTAAAGATAATTAGGAAATCGTAAGTTTTAAAAAAATGAAAAAATTAAATCATTCGGACCGATAGACAACTTCTCGTAAACCCTTGCAAAATACAAGCAAGAAGATAAAATGATCTCGTCAGAAAAGAGACGACAAGTACCTGGACAATTGAAATTGTTACATGACTGTGATTCACTGCTGGGTCCGTCACATTGGCTGCCGAGGCATTGTCTAGTGCGGGTTCTTTGACCGCCTCCACAGTTGGCAGAGCACTGAGACCACTTGGTCCACTCACTGTATCCTAATATATCAAGTTAAGAAATGCTTTAAAAGCAGGAGAGGGATATAATATAGCATTGGTCTTTTGATGCAGATGTTAAGTAGCCTATCCATGCTATTGTTAATAAACAAGGCACCTTTTACTGGAAATTACACTGTTAACTGCAGTAAAACAAAACAAAAAGTGTATTTGACCGTGTTTTATCACAATACATTTACTTACCCTCGCATGTAGGGAAGTTAGGGAAACATGGTTGAAACTGGAAGTTTGCTCCAGGACAATTGGTTCCAAGGCATTTTCTGGCTCTGGTTCTGGCGCTATTTGCGCTACATACGGTTGTGGAGCATGCTGTCCATGTTGTCCAATAACCCCAATCATCATCAGGTTCGACTGAAATGTAACCAATAGTTCAGTGCATTCGTCAAATTCCCTGCCATTGATAGCAGATTAAAATTACTGGAATTTTTTTAAAGATATCTAACCCACCAAATGAGATACATTGATGTTTGGTTGATAAATATAATTACAGTGTTTACGAAATGACATACTTGGACATGCTCCTAAATTGCACGCGCTTGTTTCTGAACCGTTTCCTTCGCAGTCGGCGCCCCCGTTCGCGGGAGGTGGACTATTACATTCCCTGGTCCTGGTCTTTGTGCCATCACCACAGGTAACACTACAGTCTCCATAAGCACTCCACTCTCCCCATCCACCGTCGACTGGAGCTGTCGAAAATACAGGTCACAATCTTATATACATGTTTGAGGGGGTAAGGGTGGGGGTGGGGGTCTCGGAGTCTGTGTGCGTGCGTGTAGTGCAGTTGCGTAGTACGAGGACAAATCTAATTCTACAAGGCTTCGATTTAGATGCAAGAACCCAACGCCATTCCAAATTAAAGAATATAACCGATCAATGGGGGAAATACAGATACTGTATTTTTAAGCCATAGAATTAAACCATTCCTTTTAAGTGTTAGCAACAATTTAAAAAAACAGGCCATTCTTTAGTTATATTCTATACAATAAAAGCAACACAAATGCTATATAAAAATATAATTTTGTGATAATGAAATAATGTACCCGAGGGTTTGACAATTTCTGCCCAATGGAAACATCGAGTCATAACCGTATGCAAATAATAATGACCGTGCAATGTATCATTAACATTGAAACGTGCCTGCAAGAACATTACAATAGGATTTATAATATACCTGGACAAACGTCGGTATTACAGGCCTGCGTTTCGGAGGAGGATCCTGGACAATCGCTGTCGTCGTGTACTCCTGTTGAACTTGTGCAACTTCTGGATCTGCTCTGAGAGCCACCGCCGCAGGTTTTGGAACAGTCAGACCACGCGGACCACTCGCTCCAACCTGAAACAAACAGCTTGAATTAAGCACCTGCTCTGATATTCAAAACATGTCACACATTATCACACGATAGTATACAATACCATTACTAGCATTTATTTTAATACAAAAAGTACCACTGTTTGCAGAAATATAAACACCATATGAACCTACTTGGACACGTGTTTGTTGCACATTCCTGGGTGTCAACATCACTGCCTGAGCAGTTTTGACCGCCAAACTGGGGTGGAGGGCTGTCACATGATCTGCTCCTGGAGATGACCCCACCACCACAGGTAACTGTACATGATGACCACGTTGACCAGCTTCCCCAGCCACCATCAACTGAAAGTAGACACCACGTAAGTTAGTTACTATTATCTAGATAAACCCTCGCCAGTTGCTGCCCCTCATTGGAAGCAAAACACAGTGGGCTTCACATAAATTGTACCTCGAATTATCCTTGTCTCGGACAAATAATGAGAAACAGGTTTTTTCTTTGGTATGAGCTGAAACTTACATTTACATTGTCAAACTCGAATGTTAGTGTAACTCAGTACCTAGATTTTGTGGTCCCGAGTTACGCAGAGCCTACTGTTAACTGTACATGAAATAACAAGTGCGACTTATGCCCAGCCAAAGCTCGTAGATAATAGATAACGACTTTTCTTAGTGACTTCTGTCGTATCTCAATTACTTTGGTAAATGAATTGTTTGCCAACTCTGATTTTCGCATTCAAACTCTTGTCTAGAATGGAATCCAAACTGATTTTAGAATTAAATCACTCCTTTTACGATATAATTATTTTATGATGAATTATTTTATGGACCCAAGGTCTTGAATGAAATAACATGTTATGAAAGTGACTGTTGAAAGAAGACTGATCACTGCTACAGATCAGATACACACAGACTTTTTATGTGAAAGCATTCTCTCCAAAGATTTTACCAAAACCTTACTTGGACACGGATCTAGAGTGCAGATTTGGGATTCAGTGGTTCCTCCAATACAATCAGCCCCTCCGTTGGATGGGGGAGGATTAGTACAAGTTCTGGATCTGCTCTGAGAACCAGTTCCACAAGTGACGCTACAGCCAGTCCATCCTGACCAGGTGGACCACATTCCGTCGACAGGGACTACAAAACGACAAAAACAGTCCACTTTCACTTCATTGAAAAGACTAGATTCGATCTATATACTTCACTTCAAATATAATTATATCTTATATCTATATAACTCACTTCAAATATTATAATAATATACGTTTTGTTTTGTGTGAAATTTCCACTTGTACAAACATGAAAAAGGTTAAACTGCCTTTTACTTTTGCAGAACAGGAATGTCGATACAATTAAAACTCTACCTGGGCAAGCATCAGGATTACATGTTCGAGTCTCTGATGAGGGACCCACACAATCAGCGCCATTGTTGGAAGGAGGAGGGTTGGTACATGTTCTGCTTCGTGACTGAGTGCCACCACCACATGTGGCGTCACAATCGCTCCAGTCTCCCCACTCTGCCCAGTTACCATCGATAGGTCCTATATAAAACAAAAAGATACTGACTATTTTCCTTTTACACATAGGGCCTATACATTCAAAAAGATTATATTCAAAATCAGTTTCTGAAATACTATTTATTTCTAGTTACCGCAAGTTAAAACTTGATTTTCCCTGAGCTTTCGGTTAATTTCCGCAGTTATAATCGCAATTAATCAATTCTCTTAGATACCGTTAAATTATATTTATCAATGTGATTATATTTATCAATGTGATTTTCCAATGTGATGTCTCTGGCTTCTCTATTTTTATTTTAAAACCGATGTATGAAACTCACCTTGTTTTTCAAACGCTGAAATAGAGAGAGAAAATGATTTGATGAGACATTTTCAGTACATATATTAACCGTTTACGAACCCTCACCAGCAGAAATTTAAATATGCCATTACTCTTTTTCTCTGTTTGGTATCTTGAATACACCTTTTTATCATCTTAAAGAACAGATAAAATGTCCAATATATAGGCCTACGTGTAACTTTATTTAATACTCTGGGTAGAATTCCAATAAATGCACTCAGCTTCGGAGTCTCGCACGATTTTGATGACCAATAAGCTAGCACAGATGGGAACTAAACATCGGGGAACATGTTTACGACATTTTTTCAAAATATCACAAATATAATAAATTCATTCTTTAAATTATGACACTTAACTTTACTTCACAAGGCCACAGAACAAGTTGTACACAGTTAAATGACGTGTATTCTATATCCAAATATATTGACATTTCAGACATTTTACATAGCCTACTTACATACTACGAATCCACCAAATACAACAGAATAGTCACTGTGGAATTTCAAGAACATGTCTTTTCCAGTAGATGTCACTGCCGGCGGGAGAGCAGATCCGCACCTCTTCCGGTCTAGGGGCTGGGCATTGATAGAGGTTCCGTCGTAGGTCTGAACCCAGTCGTAAGCACAGCTACTGTGAGACTCGATAGACATGGAGGAATACGTGGCGATGACCTGTTCATTGAAAACAAAACTATACGATTGTGCTTCCAACAAGTTCACTTTCTATAACCTTGACATCCTACCCACCAACAGACGCTTATTCAGGCAATAGCAAAGAATGATCAGAAGACAAAAAAAGCTGATTCAGGATAACTTATTCTCTGTGTTAACAAAGACCGTGTAAGTTTTTTGTTTTACTCACAGGGACGTCAGAATCTGCTTCGATTCTCCAGTGACAGTCCAGGAAGTTTGCATAGTTGCCACCTGGGAATGGTTCTAACACGTATGGGCCACTGGTCAGTGTGATCACCCGGGGGTTATTGGCAGGCGGGCAGTCTGAAATATTTCATTCCATGATATTATCAAACATACTATATACTATACAGTGCAATGTTCGACAATGTTGCTAAGATCCCATACATTTACTTTTGATGAACCAGATACTGTTACAATCTTTCACAAGTATAAATGTCGATAAGGTTTCAGTAATTCAGTAAGGAACAGGTGCGGTGTATGTCCAAAGATATGGGTATTAAAAAGTAATAGAAAAGAAAAAAAAAACATGGACAATTAAAGTACTTTTAAACATTCACTTCTGTTTCACGATATAATATCATAGTATGTTTAAACCAATGTATACCTGGGCATCCCTGTGTGTTGCATGCTTCTGTTTGCTCACTATCTCCTTCACAGACACCGCCCAAACATGCTCTTGTGCGGGTCCTGGTACCGCCACCACAGCTTACCGAGCAGCCGCTCCAAGATGACCACGAGCCCCAGCCCTCCGTGCCTTCATCTACAGAATGTAACAGTCTGATTTATCAGTATCTCCAGAACATAAAAGACGAAAGCAGAAATACATAAAGCTATAATGTTTACTGTTCGAAGTTTATATTAAGAAACAAAGACAGAAAGAGAAAATTGAATCTGTATGTATATACTGTATATATACAAATGACCTACCTCTGGGTTCATAAGCAAAGACAAAGCCCTGTCTTCTTACACTCGAGTCCGATTTAAACCGAAGGAAAAGTGAATCGCCTGTGGACTGAATTTCCCGCTGTGAAATGGATGATCCACAGAATTTGCCGATACGTGTAGCACTCGCAGAAGAACCGTCGTACACTTCCAACGCATCATACGAGCAGCTGCTTTGGGATTCAACGTTGAAGAAAGCATTCGTCAATTTGACTCCCTAAAAACGATCAGCTTATCAGTTGGCGTCATCATTTTGTATATTATCATCGTTATAACGGGTAAAACATTGTTAAAAGATAAATATGTATTCTTACTTATGGTGTTTGGTCGTGAAAATTCAATAGTAAGTTTACCTGACCGGTTGGGCCCTGGATAACCCATTCACATAACTCATTATTGGGATAGTTTTGGACATTGTATCGGAATGGGTTGAGGGTTCCAGAAGTCTGGAGAGTTTGCTGAGAACTGCAACCGAGGGACGTGTCCACAGCTGAAAGACAGTTTTGTATTAACAAATGAGAAACGAATGAAGTAAGCCTAAGTATCAGTGAACAATAACAAAATGTTATCTGATGTAATGGGATGTAGAAGTACTAATAAAGTGATAATTCAATGATTCCAATACATGTCGATTAGTATTTAGTATATCTTATCTGTGTTCTTGAAATGAATTGGATGTCAAAATTCTATGAATCTTACCAGTTCCATCGGGAACAGCTTCCCATCTGATAGTAAAGCCAGGCCTGGTCACAGAACCATCAGATCTAAATCGTATAAACATGGTGTTGCCGGAAGATACGATGCCGTCGCCCACTTTAGGGTTATTCCCACACATTTTAATCAGCGCTTGTGCCGAAGCTGAGTCGCCGTCATACACCGTTAAGGAGTCCCAAACACACGAAGATTGCGTCTCCACGTTGAAGGACTCGAAGCTTAGGCGGATTTCCTAAAAAAAGAGGAATAAGTGGCGCATAATGGTTTGGCAGGGCAGTTATTATTTATTTAATAAGTTACCGGTGAGTACCAATAAAACCAGTACAAATACGTTACATAAAACCGTCTGTTGTCTTGTCGCACTGAACAACTATTTGCATGATAATTGAAAACGGTTGTTTATGCCATCTTCTACCTACATTGTTAAGTCATAGCCATGCTCTAGGGCTAATAAAGATTTTTAACAACATTTTAGCGAGAGAAGTGCATAGGGTCATTCAAATATAAAATACCGGTAATTGTCCCCTTTTCCTTTCCGTATGTATAGTGGCATCATAGTTATAGTGGAGGAGAAGGTACTACCTCCGAGGGTAACATCTCTCTCACCCCCCCCCCCCCCCAAGCGATATGAATTAGCAATTATCGTGACAGTACCAACTTTTTGAAAGGTGAAGTTAGTACGGAGCTTATCATATTTTCTGAACTTTTTCATATCAAATGTCACATAAAGAATTCTGCGTACTTGATACATGATAATAAATCCAGTGTGTGGCACCGAAGTTTGATTTACCCACTGATATCAAAATAGTATCCCAAATTACACTGCCATTCAACTTTTCCGTAACAGAAAACTAGCGCACCCTGTGGTCAGAGAGTAGGTTTGATTATCGTTGGGGATCTTGACGAATGAGCGCTCGTCCGTCAGTCCATCCCAGATTGAATAGATAAATACCGGTTAAAACACAAGGACCGTAATTACCGAGCGGATTCAGTCAAGCCTATTGGACAATGCGGTTAGTATTACATAACCTCCCTGCTACCGTGAAGTATAGAGGCAAAAATCCAGACTATCGCCCAAAAGATCTTGATTCAAAGGTACTTGTCCATCAAAAGAACCACTAACAAATTACTTGTCTCAACCAGCGGACCGGAGGAGAAGAGGCTGGCATAAAATGCTAACCTGATTTATGCAAATAGTGGCAATCTTCATTTAATATTTTAAGATCTTGCATTTTTTCAGTGGGTGTGAGGGATGTGGTATTATGTACTAATTTTTATGCCCGTGAATTTCAACAGTTTTTAAATTTAGCATATTAAAAAATTGACAAAGTACAATTTTTCGTAAAAGGTACACACTTTGAAATGCGTCAACAAAAAGTCTCCGAGGTTGTCAAAATAGGATTAGTATGCACTTTTTTAAATGATAGACCTAAGGTCATAAAAATGTTTTGCACTTGTTTTTAAGCGGGCGAAATTTTCAAACGAATCTATTGTAAGACAGTTAACAAGTTGGCTTTGCATGGACGAAACTCTAAATAAACATTAAAGTAACCAAGTTTAATAATTATTATATTTTACCATTCCAGCAGTAGTTGTGATCTTCCATTCACAAACTTGGTTGTTTCCATAGTTAAGAAGCTGGACTTCTCCCGAGGTTCCTGATTGATCGTCTCCGCCAGAACATGCAGAGTTTTGGCGAGCGTGTCTGGTATGAACGTCGGCACTTTCTGTTAGAACAGACAAAAGTGACGCCGGCTTGCCTGTAAATGAATGTAAAATAAGCATTATCACAAAACTAAAATGGCTTTTTGTAATGATTTTACTGATTTTTAAAAACTGATTTCCTTGCAAATCTGTAGTTTTTCAACGCATATGGTGATGCACCCACCTGCTAACTCAATGTTTAGCAAACGCTAAACGCAACATTTCGCGTCGGAAAGTACAGCCTAGAACTCTACTTAAGTTCGATTGCCGCATAAAGTGAAGACGTCATAGCACAATTACACATTTTGAATGTATTATGATGCTTATTTCGGGAATATCACAATTCCAAATACTGATATCTGAAGTTTTTGACACTGATAAAAATGTTTTAAAAATTCAATGAGCGAAGCGCATGCGTTATTATGGACTGATACAATTATTGATACATTGGTGAGTAGTGTTCACTGAGGAAGGTCACGGTGTGACCGAATGCTTTGTTTCTGCTGTTTCATTTTGTATAGAAAATGAAACGTTTAAAATTACTATTATTATCATCATCATTAGACTACAGAGATGCATTTTCATCAGATGATGGTGATTTGACCATTCAAATGACAAACGAAATGTTCAATTTTGAAATTTTTATACATAATAAAACATGACATGACGCATAATTATAAAAAGAAAACCATGTCTTGACTTACCCGCTACACAAGCTACGGCCCATAGCATCACGGCTACGGTCTTCCAATTCATGATCACGGTTTCACTCTCACCGATCAGTCTTTTGCCTGGTGTTATTTGCTATCTCTTAAAATAAAATTGGGTAGGTCTTGATGCACCAGAACTTTTCTCTTTCGTCTTCCACTAAGTTACTGCCCAGCGCCTGTCATGTGGCGATTTATATTCACCGAAGATGACGTCAGAGGGTAACACACCGTGAAGCTTATCTCTCTTGCGCAGAGAGTGGACGTTTTATTGCACGTCACACCGTCTGCAGGTGACAGTACTTAGCTGTGATAACCATCGTTGTGCTTGCCCGTGTCCGTTAATGACAATCAACCTAGCATAAAGCAGAACGTAAGAGTACCTTTAGAACCGCGTGACTATTTCTGCAAACAGAGCCTTGGGTTGTTCGCTATCAGTTCTCAACTGTCATCTAAATCTTGTGATAATCAATAATATTAATAAAAAAAGAGTATTTAAATAATTTGAAAAGTGTAATAAAATTTAAATGCCACGGATATTTGTCTTTCATGAAAAGATAATTTGAAAGTTTAACGTTTTAAGGTTTGAGAGAAGGATGCAAGGTAGAAAATAAAATTATGTAAAGCATAAATTATGTCTTAAGACAGGAGCCCATTATCAAGCACCTGCAAAAAAGGTGCTGCTCATATTTCTCCCTGTCCGGATTTCAAACATGGTATCGCATAACCGAAATAACAGTTTATTCATAATGTTCACATCTCCTTCGTGGATCTCAGTATCTTATAATCGAAAAAAATTGGGCATACAGAGACATCAACAATGTTTACAAAAAAAAAAAAAGATCCGTTTTGTAGATTGCAAAATCGATACGTCCCACAAGTAAAGCGTGACGAAAGATAATTAACATGCATATAAGGTGGAAAAGAGTGCACAAGAATTTCGTCAATTGTTTTGTACTGCTCGGTTAAATAAATAACATGCAACGGTAGGGAAAGGCTTGATGAAAATAATGATATGTATCCTTGACTTAGTTTTGGACATAGTGTATCAGAATGTGTCATCGGTTTCGTTATCGTCTAATAACCATATTTGTTGCAAATAGAAAAATAAGATCAGCTTGGATTAATTGTTTTTTTATCGTCATGTGAAAAATAAATTGACGAGGTGTGTTAGTTCTAGTTTTTAATCCGAGGAAAGAAATGCGTTGGGTGCAGACACATTGAATACATTGTAGTTATATTTACGAGTATTTTAAAACTAGCTCTAATATTTACAGATTAAATATTCATTTCGATTCAACTAACAACATGAAAAAATACAAGACAGTTATACCCAATGAAAGTTTCATTGTGTCAGATACCGAGTCACTTTCCCGAATAATTAAACTATTACACGATTCTCACAACCCTTGGCGTTTTTAAGTCTTGGGCAAACTGAATCATGATCATGGCGTTGCGATATTAAAGAGAAACTTATTTCATTTATGCACTGCCATTAAGACGAAGGCAACAAGTAGCAGAATTCAGCGTGAGGTTTGTTGAGCTATCAGTTCTACTTGTATATGTTGTCACACAGTCACAGCCAAAAACTCACTTTCAGTCTCTGAGTCCGTAAAACAAGAACTCGTCAGTATGCGACTGCAAAAAAATAGACACAGAATCCCAAAGCACGCTGCACATTAAATGTTGCTATTTATCATTTCATTATTACTTTCTTCTTTAGAAAATGGCGCCCACTTCTTAAGGACAAGCCTTGCTTGTAGACAAATATATGTTATGCTTATCCAAGTCATTTTTGCTATCCTTCTTATGTTTACGGCAAGTCGACGGCTTGGACATTGAGAAAGCTTATTTTCCCTTGAATATATGCACTTGTCTTAGTGATGCACACCCTTGTTCACTTCATTTATCTATCCATGTATTATTTATTTATTTATTTATTTATTTATTTATTTATTTATTTTAAGATTTTTTGTAATTGACTATTTTGTGAAGTTGGTTGCAAAAGCGAGGTCGATGATCGAGGTGTCGTAACTTCTTGGAAATAAAGAGTAGATGGGATCGAGATTTTGAAACTTAAAAGCGATCTCGCTACAAGTATTCGTAGATGAAACACAACGAACCTCAACGATCCTCACCACCCATGTTTATGTGATCCACAGTTTTGTACTTCGTCCACTTTGTGGCATTGCTGATTCAGACTGGCCACTTTTGTATTATCTCTCTCTAACGAGATGAGAGTCAATGATAAATGTATCTTAATTGACTGGCAGTTGATTTAATCAAATGAATCATGAATATTTAGTATACCATTTAGGTAAAGGTTTAGTACGTAAACATGATATCTTCCAGGTATCCTAAACTTGCCCAATGGCTAAGTTTTATAAGTTTGACACGTCAAAGTAATAGTGGATAAATAATAGAAGACTTACAAATCACAACAAGTATGGCGTGACGAAGTTTGAAAACGTTAGGTCTTCTCGAAAAATTAACTAATGCTTGGTCTTGTAGAAGGAATTTAAAGTACTAGTAAATTCGAATTCTTTGCCAATATCGTGATTCACTCGTTGTTCTTTTTGGTTACACGCTACTTGAAATTTATCAATTATATTTGAAATATACTTTAAATCACAGAATCTGTAGTCCTTATATAACGAATTTGAAACATTTCCAAAATTGGATAGTTTTCACGTCCAGGTGTATTTGCATGTATCTTAACTAAACTTCCCTAGAGTGCCCTAAACTCGTTCGCCAGACAAGAGGTTTGCACTCACAGAGGGTGAACATTCAAACCACACAGACACACACACACCTTTTTTGTGAGGTTCTACAGGTACACTAGACCCTCCTTCCAAATACTTTCCTCGTTCCCCCTGCGCAAATCGGAGCAAGAGATTACCTGACGGAATTGTTCACTTGTGATGTGGCTTAAGGGGGGAATGTAGGTTGGAGATTTTCTCTTGAAATAAAGGTCTTAGCTTTTTTTTATTCCTATTACATTCATTTAATGTATCTTCAAAACATCTAATTGTGCTTGAAACACAGCTCCAACTTCATCGTGTGACATAATATTGGGGTTTGGGGGACAAAAACACCATTTTTAATTAGAAAAGAATTGAAAGAATTCTCGCCACAAATGTGCATGTCATACACTGTATCAAGGTACATGTACAGTGTACTCAGTACGTACTGTACGTCTGTGAAAGAAAAAAAGCAAATGCGCTAGGTTTATTTTAAAATGTGTCTCTTATGTGGTTCATTAAACATTTCGATATCCTCTAACCACAGTTATCTCTTTTCTTTTGATGGTATGTTTGTTTGATGGTATGTTTGATTTTGTTTGGTATATGAAAATTATCGCGCTAAATGCAATCAGATTAACAGTCTACATGTAGTTCTAAAACGTTCCGTCTCTTCTTGTTTCCAAAGTGCACTTATAATCACTAGCTTTTCTGTATTCTAGTTTCCACTCAACGCTGATCAGATCAGATTGCATTCAGCGATAGTCGACGTGGAGTTAGTGCGCGTCAGCTATTGCGACTGAACTCATTTTGGAAGGCCCCAGAGAAAGACACCCACCGAAAACGTAGTACCCAAGCGAGTACACGTGCAGTATCTTGTTTACGTTTGGCTCCATGGCTTTGATTGGTGAAATTAAATAAGAACCGTGCTTATTGGTCAATTCTACGAAAAACCTCGCTTTCGCTCTCGGAATTCGCGGGAAGAAGCACATGAAGAAGTTGAAAATAGGCGGAGTATATATTCTCGGGAAGCAGGTTTCTGTGTAATATGATAGGGCAGCAGAAAATATCATCTTTCTTCTCACCTGTGCAACAAAAAAGGCCTTTATGCAGCAAAGAAGACACAGTGAGTCTCGACCAGAAACTACTCAGTGGTTAAATTTTTGGGTTAATACGGGTAGTAGCACCAAGGAGTTGTTGGAACTCCTTGATAATACTACATGTAGCAATAACTATTGAGTCTTATTGTTATACTGTAGATTGAACGCATTTTACTGCCTTCTGTCACATGTTAAAACGCACGCACGCACACACACACACACACATGGGAATTCATGTCTTATGAAGATGGTTTTCAGTACCATGAGCTGAATATCCTATTTTCGAAGAATAAACTACTGACATATGACTGCACATCTTTTTCTAGAATGTTCCAGTCAAAAAAGCAAAAAATGATCCTGCTGATAGCAAGGAAAATGTCCATGAGGCGCTGACCTCGCCCTCACTAAGTCCTGAGCAGAAGCAAAGAATAGATAGAAACCAAGCCGCTGCTAAAGCCAAACGTATTGCCGCACAAACCAAAGGTCTGGTTGTCAATATGGGAGCTTCCTGGATGAAGGCCTTGGAACCAGAATTTAGCAAGCCTTACTTCACAAAGGTGTGATGCTTTTATGATGTACTTGAAGTTGAAGTTGAATTCATTAGAACTTAACTCTACCAGTAGATTGTACTAGTATAACCTGTATCAGGGATGAGACTGACATTTAATGAAAAAGTCAGAAAATATGGTGTGGGGTTGAGGGGACCACCTAGGACCAATGGTATTTTTGGCTCCCAAAAAGTTGACAATCTGTCGATAGTTGGATTTTTAAAATACTAATCCTTGCTGTATGGTATGCTAAGCTTGTGTTCAGTTTCGTTCACAAAATGACATACTTTGCAGTCATTTATACATGATCCTTAAAAAGTATGGATTACACATTATTGAAACATTATATTTCCCATTTTTTCCACAGCTCAGTGAGTTTATTCATAGTGAACGGCAAAAATCCTTAGCCATCTTTCCACCAGCTGACCAAGTTTTTACATGGACACAAATGGAAGATATCAAAAATGTAAGAATATTGAAAGAATACTGATGATCATTAATATTAAACAGTTGATTATCTCATTTTTATGACATTTTTTCATGTTTACCTTGTAACTCATTAGGAAAATATAGTTTAATTAAAAGCAAGACAGTAATATTAAATACACCATTATTATTGCACTATATTTACATAAATGAATCTTGCATGTACATGTATATGTAAGATACATGTATGTAAATATATGTATCTTACATTATCTTACAATGTAAAAAATTGAAATCTTTGTTTCAAATAATGTTCCAGGTAAAAGTGGTGATCCTTGGTCAAGATCCATACCATGGTGATGGCCAAGCTCACGGTAATTATTCTGAACTATAGTCAGTTAAAAGAGTCAAATTTTCTTTGAGATTTGTTTTAAAAATTGGTTCATGCATGTATAGAAGATTCACTGCCCTTTTTTTCAAATGCAGGTTTATGCTTTAGTGTGCCAGAGAAGATAAGACCACCTCCAAGGTAAAAGTTTTTGGCACACTTGTGAAACATGGTTCAAGTCTGTGTGTGTGTGTGTGTGTGTGTGCTTTTATCTTTTAAAAAGTTGTTTTGCATTGGTTTTTACTATTAAACAGGCTTTGTCTGCCACTGATATATATGTGCAAATGCCATGAGGTCTGCTAGAAAGATGAAGTCATACTTTACTATCTTGGTTATTTTAGTTTAGAAAATATGTTCAAGGAACTGGAGTCTGACATTGAAGGATTTAAACCCCCTGGACATGGCAACCTCACAGGCTGGGCTCAGCAAGGTATGGTTGTACTGTAAAAGATTATCTGTAAACTTTAAAGAAAAAAAATGTGAAAGTAATGTCAATCTAAGACTCATTACCAATCTTCATCATCAGTATAAGAAAGACTAATTATCTTCAGCACATTATAGGTATTCATGTTAAAATGTCTTGACAACATAATTTAATTGCGGCATGTTTTCTCACAGATGTCCTTCTCCTGAATGCTGTACTCACAGTGCAGGCTCATAGGGCTAACAGCCACAAGGACATGGGCTGGGAGAAGTTTACAGATGCTGTAGTATCATGGATCAACAAAAACCTCCATGGCGTGGTCTTCATGTTGTGGGGATCCTATGCTCAGAAGAAAGGGGCTTGTGTTGACAAGGTGAGATAGGTCTGGGGACCAGGATTTTCCAGCGGAGGGGGAAGGCACAAAGATAATTTAATTGTCTAGTGAATTTAGACAAACCTCAAATAGTAGACAAGTGCAATTTAACTGTAAAATGTATCGAGTATGATGGTAAAATTGCTTGGTTTTGTCTTTTTTGTGACGACTATTGTTTTACCAATTTTGGGAATGGGTAAGGGGGCACCTCTGAAGTAGTCTGGACATAGACAACTTGCCCCCACCATTTTATTAACTGGGTAAAATTTTCACCAAGTGATAAACATGAATTGGCCCATAAGCACAGAAGTCCATAGAAAATGGACCACATCGAAGATGAACCCAAGAACTGCCTATACAGAATTTGACCAACAACTGTTTTTATTTAAAATATAAATTTACCCTTTGTTGACTTTCAGAAGAGGCACCACGTATTGTCTACAGTCCACCCGTCACCTCTCTCTGCTTACAGAGGTTTTCTGGGATGCAAACATTTCTCAAAAGCAAATGAACTTTTGAAAAAACAAGGCAAAAAACCAATTGACTGGACATATTTACCCAAGCCGTGCAATGGAACTTTCTCTCCTAAATAAAGTTTTATTTTAGGGTACTGGCAAATTGAAAGTTGAGATTATGATGGTGAACAAAACAGGAACTGAAAATTCCAGTCGGGAATTTTTCTAAAGACTACACAGTCAGTTTTGTCTTGTCATTTAACAAACATTTAGATATTTAATTCCACCTCAAGTCATTTTACAAAAACATTCTTTCTGAATAATCTGTAATTGTGCTTAGTTTTTAGATTAAATGTATAACAAATGTTTACAGTTATTAATTAAAATAACTCTTTAAAAGTGAGTTGCAATTCAGTTAAATGTAGTAAAACCAAAAATTCTTATATCATAGTCTTTGGGTAGATGTTTTTGGGTGGAAAGAGTGATGTACATATGTAGATTCTTTTTTTTTTGTAAATATTCTTCATGCAACAGCATTAGATTTTAAGTAGATTCAATTTTCTACTCATCTTTTTCCCTACAAATTGAAATATAAAAATAACTTTTTTGTCAAGTTGAAGTTTTAAAACATTTCTTTTGTTATTGTAAATAAAAATCAGATTAAGAATGTCAATTATGCTTTCATTTTGTTAAATAATTACAAAGCTGAATTTGGAAATTAACAATTTGTTCCATTTTTACAGTGACTTGAAGAATAATGCATTTCTGCAGGGTAAGCTAACAAATGAAAAAAACAGTACTACTAGCAAATGAAATATTCCCAAGTGGTGAAAAATTTATAAGTCAGTAACATTACCTAAAGAAATGTTCTTTACTACCTTAAAGTTGTTAAAATTCTGGTAAAATTCAATTATGTATATCCAGTAAAGAAAGAAATTTTCTTCAGCTGAAATCTGTAAATTTCAAGAACATGCTGTTGTATTTCAGTGTGTTATCAAAATTATATCAAATAATTACATTTCTTAGAACAGAAATTTTTTATATTGAATATTTGATCAGTATAAAACACATATTTTAAGTAAAGTTGCTTTCATTTTTCAACACCTTAACCACAATGTTTATCAATACATGTATGACTATATACGATCTAAACTTATAAACAGATTGATAAAAAAAAAGCTTGTAAAACAGGAAAATAGCATGTAGTAATTAGACAATGTAAAATATCAAATATAAATAAGAATAAAAGGGAAATTGTTTTTCTAGTCCATTTCAATATAATTTACAGTACAATTTAACACTGAACAAAATTGATTAATCACAGAGTTGCTTTTCTTTACATAACATTACTTTTTAGATATTTAAAATCGCTCCGTTTTCTAGCACTGAAACATTAAGAAAGAATGCCATCTCACTTAGTGTCTACTTGGGTTGAGAATATTTTTGTTACTCTATTAAGTGCTGGAAGTAATCTGTAAATAATTAGGACCCGGTAGCTACAGTCATCATTCAAGAGATATTGATGTTGACCAGAATAAAATAATTCTTATCATGACAGCGCATAAATGCCTACTCTAAAAAAAAGGCCATCTGAGTGATGAAATAAAAGAATCCATGCAAAAATTCTCACTTACAATAGAAAAATTGTCATTAATAAGTCAAAGGCATGAAAGTCTAGTGAAAAATCAATCTGTGATGCTGGTAGAGCAGGCCTACCCAACTACCAGACTCGGCACCGAATGATCCTGAATTCACCGGTAAATCGGACCACACTACCCATTTTCAAGGTGTGAGTCAGTACGCATTACACAGTATCAGACGCGACACCGCTCTTGCCTAGTACGCGATGTGATAGTGATGATTCTCAGCGGGGTTGAAAAGCATTGCATCACCACTCAAAATTTGTTCAGGGTATGATACTGTGTAATGCGTACTGACTCACACCTTGAAAATGGGTAGTGTGGTCTGATCTACCGGTGAATTCAGGATCATTCGGTGCCGAGTCTGGTAGTTGGGTAGGCCTGTAGAGGGTTTTAAATGCCTGTATAAAAAATTTCCATATTGGATGGAAGGTGCTTGTCAGCAGGTGAAGGTTATACATTTTAAGTGATAATTTACAAAGAGACTGCTGCTTTGATTCACTTTGAAGTGTAAAAAAAATGTGAAAACTAAAACGTGCTCTTTAAAGCGAAGACATTCAGACATAAAATAATAGTTTTTCCAGCTCACAGGAAAAAGTGGCAGGTGATTGTTGAATGATGTAGTTTTTAAATTGGTTTCTGGCAGTGTAAAAAAATAAATATTAGCCAAATTATTGCACCCAATACTACGAAACAAAATCTCTAACAAAATGCAAAGTTGGCAGCCTTCACCAAAGTCTTTGGCAATGTTGGATATCTGGCGGTCATACACAGCAAGTTCTTTAATGACCAAAGGGTACTGTCTTTCCTGCAGGACTCCAAGCTGGTCGTTCTTCTGAATATTCAGCAAATTTTTTCCTCCTACGTTCATCCTTGCATCGTTTTTCCTAAAAATTCAAAGATATAAGTTATTAAGTCATGGGGCAACAAAGAAAAAAGAAACCGAAGAACATTTTCATTATGAATGACCACAAAATGGAAACATTTTGGCCAATGTTAGGACTATATGTTGACTCTTTATAGATGATAAAAGGTGTGCAATGCACTATTAAATTCAATGCCACAATGTGAACACAAAGAAAAATACATAAAAGCAAGACCAATTGGAAACTAAACAAGCAGCACTTTCAAAACAAACAAAAAATAAATAAATAAAGAAAGAAAGAAAGAAAGAAAATACAAAAGGATACATGTATAAACAATGCAACAATAACCCAAAGCAGTCTGGCATGCAGTAACCACAAGCGAGACTTACACAATTACCTAGCTTGTCCCTATACAGACAAACTGGGTCACCTATGAAAAGGGACAGTACGGCCAGAGGGGTACCAAGCTGGTGTGGGATTCTCCAACTCTTCCCTACTTTTTAACCTTCTCCGAATTCTATCATCTTTTTGTTGCCTTTCCTGTAACACAAACAACAGCAACCCTTCCCATAGTGTATGATAGAAAGATGGCTCAGTAGTGAATTATATTCTGGTATATACAAGAACTTCTATTAGAAACTAATTAATAGGGAGGGAAAGTGAGTATCAAAGGAAAGAGAAATTACATATTCAACTAACTGCTACATTAAAGTCATGGGGGTGAATTTTTTTCCATCAGATTGTTGTTGTAAATAAACTTTATGTCACTTAAACGTGACAGTGGACATTCAGAAAAAGTATTTCAGTCTGTAAAATTCACCTTTATGCCTTTACACAAACATAATTATATGCAGACTTTTACAATTTCTATACCAGCTAAAATGTCTATTTCTCAAATATACCACAGAAGCCCACCTTGTTTTCTATCCACATCTCGTATCTTCTATTAGCTTCCTCTTCTTTCTCTTTTTGTGTTTTTTCTATCTGTTTTCTCTCTTCCTTCTCAACCTTTTTGGTTTCCCTATGCTGTGTTTTTAATAAATTGTCCTTTTTGGCTTTCCTAGATGGAGAGAAAGAAAACATTAAATACAGAGAAACAAGCTGGTAAGTCTCCAATTTCTGGTCATATGCAGTTATGAAATATGACACTAGAAAGCTTATGAAATATGGCATATTGATGCATCTGAATGTGAGTTGGAGTGCAATTTTAAACTGTACTAACTTGGAGTGAGTAAAATCATTTAAAGTCCTACCATCCTTCATAGATCTTCATTGTGTCTTTCTTCCTAATTGCCTTCTCCTCAGCCTCAGTTTGTTTCTTTTCCATCATGGCCTTCTTGGTTTCTCTGTGTTTCTCCTTCAACTCCTCATCTTTGGCTTCTTTCCACCTTTTGTAGGTCTGGAAAAATTGGTTTAAATTAAATCCTGGGTAAAAACAAAATGACCCCTTGATGTCAAAAAGTACGTATTTCTCACGATTTCTTTCTTAAAAATACCAAACTTAACTTGGTGCTTTTAGTTTAAAAACTAGAAAAGTAATTAAGCACGAAGAAAACAACTTTCAAAATGTCAAAACTTAATAGACACAATCATATACACACCAGTTCTGCTGCTTTTCTTTTTTCCAATTCTTCTTGCTCTTTTTCCCTTTTCTTTTCCTCCTCTTTTCTCTTTTCCTTAGCTTTTTCCTTTAAAAGGGGTTTCTTTCTTTCAGCCCATGAGTTATAAGTGACTTGGTTCTCAACAGCTTTTTCTTCTTTTTCCTGAAAGAAAAAATAAATAAATAAAAGTAAAACACAGATTAAGATTCTTTATCCATGTAGCAAGTATGCTTAAGTTTTTATTACAGTCTAAACAAACAAACAAACAAACAGGTTCCAGTGCTTTTTAAAACACGTGACAATGTCCTGCCACTCTCCAAACTACCTTTTTCATTTTCTCTTCCTCTTCTTTTTCTTTCTTCTTCTTCTCTCTCAGCTCCTGCTTTGATTTCTCCATTTTCTGCTTGTACCACTCATCATACACGGCTTGCCGTATGCCAGTGGTGCTATCAAAGCTGGCTGGTCTCTCATAAGGTTCTGGAGAGGAGGGCACCTCAGGTTTTGCATAACGTGGTTTGGGTCTCACTTGACTAGTACTTGAACCCGGTCTCGATCCCGGAGTGGACCTTGTTGACAGAGTACAATTATTTACATGATGATTATTCACTCCAAACATGCACAAAATATTAGAAATACTGAAGACGTACTATTCATATTCAATGCCAGTTAATAATGAAAACAAAAAAGACATCTACACTTCTCATGAAGAATGAAAGACATTCTGCAATTATCATGTAAATTACATACAAAATTAAAAGTCAACAAAAATAAGGTAATATTTACTTCCGTTGTTCTTTAGACTTGGCAGTTGTTGCTGGTTCAATGTACTTCATGCTCATCTCATGCTCCTCTTCATCCTGGACATCAGCCACCAAATCTATGGTGTTCTCCAGCATGTTGTGTTCCTCTGTCTGTTTACCTGCCGATTCTCTGACATATGAAAAAAGATTATCACTATTGGTTTTAATATTTAATTTAGTTAAAAAATTAACCTGTGAAGGCTTCCCCTAATAAAACCTAGACAGCAATGCTGACAAATGTACAGACACTACACAGGAAACAAGGCAGCAAAGCTGTTAAATGTTCAGATATTACGCAGAAAAAAGTGCACAAAATAATGTTTTGACCAATTTTGAGGCACTATTACATAAACAACATAATCACTTTTATCCTCTTACATTATGTATTACCAGAACATGGACATTGAAAGTGATTCAGTTCCATGGGATATAAATGCCACTGAAAATGCAAGTGTGTGAAAAATGAAAATTTCACAAAAAAAAATTACAATAATAATTACCATAAATGTAAACTGATTATGCCAATTTTCGAAAGCTACCTTGCCACTTTACCAAACAAAGCCACTCAGTAAATTTTCAGTAAAAAAAAAAATAGTTTGGCAGTTATAGGGTGAACATTATGTGTCAGACAATGACATCATTGAATGAATCACTTTCAATGTCCTTGTCCATGTTTTAGTATTTTTCAATAAACAATGCACTTTAAGGCATTAATTCATAAATAAAAATGGATATGTTTATTTTATTTGATTTCCTATTAATAATGATTTCTTTTTTTAAATTTAAAAAAAATTATTAAAACAAATCTTATGGTTAAACTAACCGTCTCTTTGCTCTTTCTTTCTCACGTTCCCTTTTCTCTCTAATTTTCTTATCAGGATCCTCTTCAATCTCCCTGCACACTGAACTTTCCCTCTCCCTATCAGGTGATGGTATACTTTTCCGAGACTTTCTAACTACTTCAGTCTGGGCACTGTCTTTCGACTTGGAATGTTTTACATCATTTTCATCATGCTCATCACCTTCCTCTTCAGACTCGCTCATTAACAAAGATTTCATCTTTCTAGGTTTTGGTTTAGGTGCACCATCTCCAGTCAACAATCCTAAAATACCAGAGGACTTGGCAGGAGATTTTCGGCCACTTGCTGATTCTTTTTTACCATCTTCGAGTTTTGGTGTTCCGGAGCGAGAAGAGGGTGTTTTTCGACCGCCAGGGGAAGGGGATGCTCTACCTTTGGCATTTTTCCTAAAAGATTTTGCTACCTCTTCTTCTTCTTCATCATCATCATCTGACTTTGTGCTACTTCCAAATATGTCAACCTTTGGTTGTCTACGTGGCTTGGGTTTCTCCTCATCCTGCTCCTTGGACAGCCTCCTTGTGCGAGGTTTCACTTTAGGGTAATCCATCTTCCCATCTTCAGCCCTAGGATTGAGTGATCATGGTATTCCAATTAAGGAGAAAATGAGAATTCCATGTAGAATATTTCTTAAATCTCTAGGGCACACTTAATATCTTCAAACATGAAAATTTAAGTCTTATACATGTATACTAATATACTTTTATAGGATAAAAAGATTCCTAAAGCATGTTCAAATAATTATAAATAGTACAGAATTTGGCATGTCAATTTTTCTCAAACCTTGAAAAGAATCCCCTCTTTCTAAAAGTGAATGTTAATTCACTACATAACAGAGTTGTTGTTTCTGTGGAGATTAAGAAATAATAATAATAATAAATATAATATACCTGGGAGAATCTTCAGAAAGAGATGTCTTGTGTTTCCTAGGTGGAGGGAAGGGGTGATCTCGAGGTGAGGCTTTGGGTTTCATAGCTAGAAATAAGAAGTGAAAACATAAATAAATATTTCATTTCAATTATTTTAACAAGAAAAATTCAATCTGCCAGTACCATTTTCCAAGCACCTACTAGAAAGCTATAACAAAAAAAATTCAAATGTTATGACTTCATTCTACTGCAAATTTAATAATCTTGAATTAAAACATCAATGTGTTGTCATGTTAAACCTAATAAAGAATCACTTGCAGAAAGCCAGCCCATAAATATAGCCCATAAAGCCAGCCTATAAATAATAGAACTTATGCAGTGAAAATGTTGCTCACTTTCATTGTCCTGTTCCTGTGTAGTATTCTTTTTATAGGACGGAGGCTGCCATGGTTTCTTCTGGTACTGTCCTCGTGGTGAACTGTCTTTGTCAAAAAGAGAGTCCATGGGATCTTTCCTATAGGCAGAGAAGTCTATTTTCAAGTTTCATTTGTTATTGAATGAAACTGGAAACTGTTGTTGTTAATTTTCCGTGTTTGTGTCTTAGATATGATGTCAAATAAAAATTGAGTAACATGTTTTGGTCTTAAGATTTAAAGAATCAATAAATATTTTAAGAAACAAAAAATTGACAATTTTTAAGATCAAAACTTGAGATATCCTTTGCTCTTATTTAAAGAGATGTATAATTTGTTTTCAAAGATATAAGTACATATTTTTTTTTCTAAATGAAAAATTAATGCTGTAAATGAGCACATCTAGCTAAGCTGTACCTATACCCATATTGTTGCTGATCCTCTGCTGCCATTCCATTCTTAACAGGGGCTTGTTTCTTGCCAAATAACAGGTCATCTAAGCTAGGCTCTGCTTCTTGTGCCCCATTTTGAACTGGCTTTCCCGTTGGGCTTTTCTTTCCAAACAGCATATCATCTATTGACTGAGGGTTTGCAGAGTTCTGTTGTTGACTAGCTGAGGATGCTTTTCCAAGAGAGTCAAAAGGGGACTTCCTTCCATAGGTAGTGGGTGGGGCACCCTTCCCAAAAGGGTCAAAGGGAGATTTGCGGCCTGCTGACTGTCCTGGTTGGTTCATAGATTTAGGTTTGGATGTCAGGTTGAATTCAGCTAACAAGTCTATAATGGTAAATACAAAAGAAAATTTTTATGTTATTTTGTTACTGGATCCTCATTTTATCTATTACAGATGTTACAACACAGCTTTAAGTATAAAAAAATACTTAAATAAAATATTAAAAAATATATGTACTGTATTTTAAAATTCATTTACACTGTTCAAAAATTGATTTTACCTATGAGCTTGTGAAAGTTTTATTTTAAAAATGGCCTCTTCCTTAATGTTTTGAAGCTAAACAGAGTGACAATATCTGTGGAAAGTTGATAAATAATTGTCAAACAGTACCCATGGTATTTTATCATTCCATTTATGACGCTTCTTGCAAATCATTGTACAACATGTTAAATCGGTGCTTACCATCATCACTTCCCAGTGCTTCATCTTCACTCTCATCAGTGGGTGTGACATCTGTCCCAAAACCCCTGGATCTNTGAAATAAAATATTTAAAAATATATGTACTGTATTTTAAAATTCATTTACACTGTTCAAAAATTGATTTTACCTATGAGCTTGTGAAAGTTTTATTTTAAAAATGGCCTCTTCCATAATGTTTTGAAGCTAAACAGAGTGACAATATCTGTGGAAAGTTGATAAATAATTGTCAAACAGTACCCATGGTATTTTATCATTCCATTTATGACGCTTCTTGCAAATCATTGTACAACATGTTAAATCGGTGCTTACCATCATCACTTCCCAGTGCTTCATCTTCACTCTCATCAGTGGGTGTGACATCTGTCCCCAAACCCCTGGATCTTCGATCCTTCATTTTGGCTCTTAATTCTGTTTGAAAGGGGTCACGCTTGCGCTGGGTGGACGGAGAACTTAAGGTATCCATGTCCTGCAACTTATAAGAATGAATACAGCCTAAGAATGGCAAGTACTGGTACATGTATGCTCTTTGAAAATTGAAATTTAAATAATAATAGGAAAATAGAGTTAATGGTATAGTTACAAGAATGTGGGGAACGTATATTTTCAAACTGTTCATACATGTTTTTTGGCTTAGGTTGGAAAACATATCTTATATCTTAGACAATAATTTTAGACAAATAAGATGGATTCATCAAGCTATGCATACAATGTACAGTACTTCTTTATAATAACTTTATTTATATTTTGATGATGTATGTACAGGTGTTCCAAAATTTAACTCCAACCAAGCATTCTATAAAAGATATTCTTCAACGTGTCGACGCCCTGTTATGTTGTCATTATATTTATCTATTTTATCTCGAACGTTGACATTAGTTGTCACGTACATATGTATCTCTAACATATACGTAGACTGTAAGTTGTAGTAACGTACGTGCCGGTATAGCACGAAAATTCATGCGTTAGCACTCCTATTGACGATTCTGATATGTGCTGGCTGTGCTAACCACACAGTGTTAGCACAGCCAGCACATATCAGAATCGTCAATAGGAGTGCTAACGCATGAATTTTCGTGACAGTGTTAGCACAGCCAGCACATATCAGAATCGTCAATAGGAGTGCTAACGCATGAATTTTCGTGACAGTGTTAGCACAGCCAGCACATATCAGAATCGTCAATAGGAGTGCTAACGCATGAATTTTCGTGCTAGTGCCGGTACTGTCATGCCTATAATTCCCGCGACAACTAATTGATCATTTTCTGACATCTGTACGCGTACATGGTGACGAGATAATTATAGGGCAAAACACAATAGCAATGAAAATGAGAAGACGTCAAGCCCGCCCTATGTTCGCTAATATGCAAATCAACCCCGCTTGTCCATCGGTGGCGGCTTGTCACCCTGTTTATGCTCGACGGGGAGTTAATTGCCGCTTGCTGTAAGCCGACGTAATTACATAGTTGCTTATCTGCCGGTACTGTTCCTTTTTCTAGGCTGACACAGGGCCTATCTCCTGCCTTGCTAACGGGTTTTTCTTCACTTTGCAAAGTTTTGTTTGAAAGATTTAATATTTATTTTACTTGTGAGTTTCCCACATAACGGCCAACGTTAATTTGAAAATGACGTAATGCAGTATCGGCCACAAACCACGGAGCGTGCCGTCTGAGGTAATGAGCAAAAATAAAATAAACTACTTCAGACGTTGTGAAGATNATCGGACTACGCGATCCTTCATGAATTGCTACCCACTAAAAGAGAAAGAAAACTTAACCATCGGAAAGTATGGAGAAATTATCGTTTACCCCAGGAAAATCCGTTTTATGGCACTTTCCCGCCAATATTGAATCCCAGGGCCGTAGCTGCCCCCCCTGGGATTTGAGGTGCAAAAAAAATAATCGCAAAGGTAAAAAAAAAATAATTGCAATATTTTTTGACTTTTGATTGAGCAAAAAATAACAGTTAAAATGCACCAGAATGCAGTATTATACATACAGTTTTCAAAAATTTTCCACACCATCGGAGGGGGACACCCCCTCCCACAACCTTCCCCCTCGTGTCCGCTTACTGCCCCCCCTGGCATTTTGCTCAGGCTACGGCCCTGAATCCGATACTCTACTATATACTGTTACCTACATGTAGTTACAGTGGCTAGGGTATGAATGCCATGATCTTTTGTCATCTGGACACAATACATATCCGCCGAAATGTTTAGGCTCTATGATGGATTTTATGAAGATCTACTAAAAAAAAAAAAAAAAGTGAATATGACAGCCTTTAAATAAATAAATTAATTAATAAACATTAGTAAATAAAGAAAGAAAGAAAGACATTTTAGTGGAATGCTTAACTTCGGGAAAGTCATGCGTTCAGATTTGAGAGCGCATTAATAAAAGTAGAAAAAGAAACAAAAGTTTGGCGAATCAAACGATAATTTATGGTGATCGTCATCTCTTCAATACGTTCAGTCCGCTGGCTCCTATTACTGCGGAATTCACTTAGTGCGGCGTTATTGCATTTTCACAAATATTTTGGAGCAGTTGCGATTTGTTGTCATTCGAACATTGTTTTTAACCTAGAAAACATGTTGTGACTATATTTGTACAGATCAGTCGTTCATTGTGGCGATTGCGACACATGGATAAACGCGGCTGGAGTATTGAGATACGCAAATAATTAATATAAAGAAATTTTATTTGTCTACTTTTAAGGTAACTTAATTTTCTAGGCCCCTATATGTCCTCCATATCGCGTAGTGTTTGAATCCTTTAAAAAGTAACTTGGCAAACAAAATATACAGGGTGATTAATATTTAGCTAGTTAAGACCGCTTTTATTAATGTGTAACCCAAATGAGATTAGTTACGAAATTTACTTTAACAAACTGGCCATGAAATCTTTCCAAACCAGCGCAGAGAATAGGATCCCTAATTAGAAAAAATTGAAATAAAATAATTGGTCAAGATTAACCGACCTTTAATTAGAACAGTTGGGCAGCAGGTTAATGAACTATATAATGATTAATTTCTGCACTGAAGATGAACCAACTTAAACCATATGAAAATTGAATACGGTATACAAGACAGTGCGGTATTCTAATGAAATAAACAATGAAAAGCAAATTGCTACAGGTAAACTCAACGATAACTACAAAAATTTAAAAGGTCGAAATCTGCGCTAGAACCGAAATAAAAGAACCACCCTTTTTGCTGGGAAAAGGTCCACTCTGGGTACAATTTGATCTATGTACTTGAGGATTTTATGGTAAAAGGTCCACTTTTTCAGAAAATGACCCCCCTCTCTGAAATTGTTGGCTACGGGCCTGCCAGTTCAATCGTCCGATGCGCCGAATGCAATGCTAAAAAGGCTGCTCCAATCCTGAGACGACGTCCCTTGTATCTGGTTGAATCTTAACGGCGAAATTTGCTTGTTGAATGTGTCGAAATGAATGGAGGGATTGGAAGAATAAAAGAGTAGACCTGGACTGTCATCCAGAACTGAACATTTTATAATGCTACTTAGTCCATAATTTAATATTAAAATAAGCAGAGACGTTGCCGTTAACTTAAATTACACGTGGGTATACTTTGTGTATGTGGTCAATGTATTGAATGCATTTTGCGATGTCCACCGTTTTCCAAAACTGGTGAATGTCTTTTTACTAATTCGTTTTAATGGATGGTCTGACGTAGGCCTATTTACGCAAATGATATTCAAGTTTTGACCACAGGTTTTCTAGGGGTTTTTAATGAGGACTTTATTTTGGGGGGGGAGGGGGGCCAGTTAATGTTGTGTGATACAATAAATTCTTTTGTCAGTTTGTTAGTATGCTTAGGTCGTTGTTTTGATAAAGAGGGAATTGTTTTTTCAAAAATGGTAGCAAATTTTCCTTCAGGATTTGCACGTGGGTCTTTGCATCCATGATGCCCGTGAAAATGGCTAGCGTCGTTGCCCTTCTTTTGGAAATGCCTGCAACAGGAAAGAAAGAAGAAAACATAAATATCTCATTACTAAAAACATACTCCAGATGAAGTACGGGATGTCTTCACTGAGGGAAATGAAATATATAGCAAGAAGCAAGGGATATAATTACATGTTTTCATGATAATTTTGTTACATTATTTAGTGCAGAATTACATGTCTTAATAATAATCATTTTGTTATATTTTTCACTATGAAAAAACAGCATAACATTACAAATGTATTCTATTTCATTCTGTTCTGTTGTTTCTCTCGAACAATGCTTGTAGTGCGATATTATACTAAATAACACAGTAAGTATACACGTGCTTTACCTCCCCATACACGCACTTTGTACGCACGTTTTGATATGGGTCTTGGTTGAGGTGTCTCGCTGATGATCCTACTCTCTGCGTCTCCAACCACCCTGTCTGATGTGCACCTGTCTGAATACAAACTTATCGGGTCCGCCCATTTCGATGGTGCTTTCATCTAAAATCGAAGTAAATGGAAAACGCAATAAAAAGGTGTGTGCTGGAGGGGGGGGTATGCTTTTTACATGATGAGGTTGATGCGGCTGTTGATAACAGACTGTTACTGCAGCTGTTGAGCCATTCGATTGACACGTTATCACACCAAATGCAGCAGCACCGTAGTATATACGTTGACCTCTAACACTGAGTGGTTTATGCTTTATATCCCGCAGCGAGTGAGCGGTCTGTTTAGCTCAGCGGGAACGTTGATGCAAACATTTCCCGTAATTCCGTGAAACTGCCATCAGAAGCATGTGGGTCGACAGCAGCCGTGCTCAACACACGTGACTCGGAGACACCTGGTCCTGGTTTCTGAGCGTGGAGGGGAAAAGGGCCGCTATCTCGTCGTCTGCTACTAGGTGAGTGCCTTTGACAGAGTTGTCACAGTAGTTGCAATATTGACTTGTTAAGTGCAACGATCTTCAACGCAGAACATACATAACAACTTGGCAATTTAGCAGAGAGTGAACACACCACGATGTGCATCTCTAAACGATTTTCTTTCTCTGTTAGAATACTAAATTCAAGTTTATAATACTAAGCTATTCTCCTTGTCTTTAGTTTCCCCCGGCAAGTTCTGCCTGAGAATATTTGTCGAAGCGAAGACGGCTAACAGCCGTAGCAAGCAGCGTGAAGCATGGCAGCAACAACGCCGCAAGTGACCCGCGAAGCGGTGGAGTATTACCTGAGCAGTAACCTTGAATTCACGTCTAACTGGATCGTTAACAACGCTACGGACGATATGATTCACCAATGGAAGGTCCGTAGGGGGTGGCTGGCGACACACAGTGCCGGTGGACATGACTCTGACCTCCTCGACTCTCCCACTGACTTCCCTAGCATGTTGTCCTCGAAAAACTCAATTACGGAAAACATGTTCAAAAACTATATCTCCGGTAATCGAAAGTTTACCCCAAGGCCCCGAAAAATGCTCACTTCATTAAGACAAATGAGCGAAAGAGAACTTTTCATGGAACTGATTAGAGACATTGCCAATGAGCTAGACGTTAACGTGCTGTGCCACAAGATTCTCGCCAATGTGAGCACGTTAACAAACAGTGACAGGGGGAGTCTGTTTTTAGCCCGTGGGTCAAAAAATAATCGGTACCTAGTGTCGAAACTATTTGATGTTACGGAAAGCTCAACGTTGGAGGACACATTGCAAAATGAAGAAAATGAAATACGGGTACCAGTTGGCAAGGGCATTGCTGGTCATGTTGCTTTAACTAAGGAAACCGTCAATATCAAAAATGCATATGAGGTAGGTACACAATAAAGTGCACATTTTTAATCAAAAGAAGAAAATATTTTTTTTTCATTCAGTAAGTGAATAGAATGACAGTTTAAATCATATTTGATATTTTATTTCTCATGATCATACCTTTACTTAAATAAAATCTATTATCAGGAAAGGCATACATATAGCACCCTATAAGATACATTCATGTAGTCTGATTATTTTTTATATTGAAGTTTAGAAAAAAATATCTTCATTGACTTACACCTCAGTTGTTACTTTACTTGTTGAAAGTAAAGGTGCTATGCAGTAATGATGAATAACTCAGACAAGAATAGGCTATTGTAGTATTACGTAACAGTCTGGGTAACAAGAGCCATTCATCACCTTTGGTGCAGAATGTAAATACTGTAACATGGGAATTGCCATCCTTTGAATTACGTAGGAAAGCAATGCAGTGTTGCCAATCTCACGAAGAAAAAATAAAACCATTGATAGATAAATTATGTTCACAGAATTCAGATAAAAGCCTTTTTAAAGCCATTATACTGCAGCATAGTGTATAATCAATGTGAAGTTCATCACTGTCAAGTCGGTTTCCTAGCTGGTTAAAAAGGGAAAGGAAAGAAAAAAGACTTGTGAATGCTACGGTCTTCAACTTACAACCAATATTTTTATATTTGAAGCTGCTTAGTTAATGCTTTGTGTTGGTATTCCCCACTTTTTATTATATGTACTGACCTTTGAAAAGGTGTTAATGAGGAATAATTAGGTAATACAAATTGTAAATATCCCTTCTAATGTGCGAGATGAGTTTAACTAGATTAACAAGAAACACTGGGTAGTCATGCAGCTTATTAGTGAACCTTAATACATGGTGAAGTGTTATGGGTAGGTTCCTATTTTGTTTGTACATGAGTGATAGATATGTTATCTTGTAGTTCAAGAGTGTTGTTTTATACAACACATTGGTTTCGCAAGACAGTTACATATCTTTAGAAAGTTTTTTCTTTGAATCTTCTTATGCAATTAACAAAATGTTATTTACTTTTTTGATAAGATAACTTGAATATTACACTATTTACGATAAAATGAGTATTAATATGTTGAGAAGTGGGTGGGGATGAAATGGCAAATGAATGGTCTGACCTGGATGAGGCAATTGACAGATTGTTCTGTGGAGTAAAGTGAATACACTTACAATTTCCAGAAAAAGTCACATGTATATGTGAAGCACTAGATATTGCTTAATGGCTATAATATAAAAATCTAGATATCCAGCTACTTGCAGGTGCATACATATTTGATGACCCTTATGTTTTCACTTTTATTGTACCACTTAGCTCTAAAAGCAGTTTTCATGTAAGCTGGTGAGGGAATGATCATGTGCATGTTTGCTTGCAGTCAAGTGTGTGTGTGTGTTTGTGTTTGTGTGTGTGTGTGTGTTGTGTGTGTAAGAGAGAGATGTGTAAGAGAGAGAGAGAGAGAGAGAGACAGAAAGAGACAGAATAAATGGATGCAAGGGTGCATTTACTGTATGCATTTTTTCGGAATAATGTTTATTGACTATAACACCCCATTTCCATAGATTTTTAGATCGATCTATCCCTGTGGGGAATCTCACTAGATTACTGTCAGCTTGGCCGGCTTAAGCGTCTGTCCCGCCTACTAAAAGCTGTAAGGGGGTAATTAACTATGGTGCCCGCTCGGCTGACTGCAATTTAGCGTGAACCCCCAGGGAGTTAGGTCGATCTAAATCTTAATCTTTAGATCGATCTAAATCTCTGGGAAAGCACCCTAAGAGAGAGAGAGAGAGTATAAATGGATGCAAGGGTGCATTTACTGTATGCATTTTTTTTCAGAATAATGTTTATTGACTATAATTCACCCTAAGGTGAATCTTGAAAGACATAGCAAGCTGATGATATGTTTACGTCTAATACAAATCCACTGATTCTTCAGGCCTTATAAACAGATAAGGTATTTGCCGAAATTGAACTGAGAACCCATACATAAAATGAGTAATTTCTTGAAATTTCTTGAAAAATATTTAAAAAAAAGGACCCAAAAGAAGGTTACAGGGAAATAATGGATATTTTCCATGATTTTTCTATATATAGTTCTTAGCTCTCTCTCATTTTGCAAGTAGCATGAACTGAAAGAAATTTTTTGTGTGCTTTTTACTTTGGATTATGGAAAATGTTCCTGTTTTTGATGTTATATTATTTTTGACAGCTTCACAACCATCTATGGTGAAAATAAGTAGCTCTTAACTGCTAGTTGTTATATTAATATTATAGCCATGAACATATTTTGCATCACTTTAAAAAGATATGTTTTATTTAATTTTGGGTATAATATAATAAAAAAGAAAAAAAAATCTTTCCTTTTTGTAACTGGTTTTAAGTCAACAATTCTTGGGCACGGTCACTTTTTTTGAAATAAGTATGCTAATAACCCTTTCTAACCCCACATCCATTCATTAAGTAAAATATTTGAATGTGGTTAAAGGTATTGTTTTCTTGTTACAGTAATGATGTTTATAGCTAAGAGACACTTGGAATTTCAAAAAAGTCACAGAATTTGGTAATATTTTTTATAAATGTATTAACAGGAATCGTCACTAATATGTAACAGGAGGATAAGTAGATAAAATCAAACAGAATTGAAAGGATGCCAAGAAAAGATGAATCCAGCTTTCAATTTGAATTCCAATTTACAGTAATTTAATGGGTTTCACATTCAAATGTGAAAAATAAAAACATGCAATTTTCAGATGAAAAAGCTGCATTTTGACCACCACTTTCCAGCTGTAAAAGCAATTGGGAAACCAATTTTCACATTTTTTGAAAACACTGCTCCACAATATTTCCAATTCCACCACCTAGGGCTCACATATTCACACATGAAAGGAGACATTAATTTTGTGATTGATGAAAATATTTTATTGTTGTAGAATCCAACCTGAAATCGAGTTGCGTTGATTTTTTTTACTTGTTTGCATTGCAGATAGAAATTCATGGTCCAGTGGCTTTGAATGGTGTTCTGTTTGCAAGCAATCAGGATCAGTATTCTGTCAGTAGGATGGCTGTAACACAAGCAGTGCTCTTTATGGCTATTAATGCAAAACTGATAAGATGATTATCTGAGTCTTAACCTCTCTGCATATCAGCATTACTAAATACCCAAGGGGGATATTTCCTCTGAAAATAAGCTGCAAACTTTGGCGGTGATGTCTGGGATTTTAATTTGGTTTTCCTATTTGTAAACTTTTCTCCCCAGAGACTCTCTCACTATCTGCACAAGAAAACCTTGCTTGTTATTCCTTCCAAGAAACTTGAGCCAGAGTTAAAATAACAAACCCAATTTACGTACCTGTGTAGAAAAAAAACCTAGATTCAAACAAAAAGGTACCTTTCTTTCATATTTAGAATAAAAATCTTAATTAATTTAACTAAAAGCATTCAGTATTTTTTTGTATTGGATTCAGATTTCATTATCAGGCATAAACCTATTCCAGCCTTTCAATCCTGATGCCTTTACAGAGAATTTGCTTTCAAAGACACCCGAGGTTAATTGGTGTGTTTTGTTTGCTTGGTATCTATTTACAGTCCACTTTTTTTTCATTACATCTAATAAGTCCAAATTACCATTTGTCTCAAACAAAGGCAATTTTTGTCAAGGATATTGCTGCAGAGATGACTACTAGTTATTCCACCTTGATAATAGATAAAAACTCATTACATCCAGGTATATTCTTGACACCCGTTGATCTCTCCCTTTCATATGTAAAGCCATTTTACGAGAATTATATGAGGCTGCGCTATGGTTGGCACCTGACAGTTAAATTGACACTGACATGTTAACCATATTGAAATGCAATTACATGTATGTCTGCCTTTGGATGACTCTGGTTATGGGTTTTGAGACTTGCAACTTTTGAGATTCCCAAATTTTACTTAAGGTTCAACATGTATACTGTGTGTACCTGGTTTGCCTTCTGGAAAGGTGCAAAAGAAGCTGCCTTTAACAGATCATTTCACCGCCAATTGAATTCAATTTCCTGTGTTTAGCCCTTGAAGAATTTGGATGTTTGACATTTTACTGGGGCCTCATAGTGTACCATGCATTATTTCTTCCTAATTGAGCAAACCCCTAATCCAGTCCATGCCGTTCAATTCAATTCCAAATCTTTTACTTTGATGATATCATCATAACCAGTATATTATGCCACAGCTTCAGCAACATGTTACCTGAGGTTTTAGCAGATGTGAATGGCAGATTCAAGATGAATGGAAAACACAGTGAAATTGCTAAGGCAGATGAAAAGGAGCTAATATATCTGAGTGCTGGTTTTAATCCTTATACCTTTCAAGAGGCACTGTATTTTACTAAAGAGGAAAAATGTGACTCACTCAAGGAATATGATTTAGTCAGAATTGATAGAAACAAGTAATCAGACTTCATTAGATAAAGATAATTTACATTCAGGTGCTATTACTGTTTGGCTATCATATCCATATTTCCATCAACTGGTAAGAGATCTGGTATTGTAAAGTATTGATCTTTTGCGTGATGGCTTCTAACGGACAGAACCAATTTGATTTGCTTCCCTGACTGGATAGAATTGTTTACAGGAAAACATGATTCTGTTTCATGATCTTATTGCATTTTTGGCTTACAGTTCCTGCAACAACAGGTTTAACATGTGGCTCTATGGTATAGAGATAAATGATTGAAAATTGAAATACACTTAAAAGAATGATTTTTCATGCATGATCAGCTCCTGATAACACTAAACACTAAATGCTCCAGATACTGAATAAATAAAGTATTTCAGTTGAAATGTAAATTATGAATCACTTATGCTGGTACATAAATGCTTACCATACAGTACCTGTGTAACTTTCTTTAGTTGATTATAGGAAGAGATATGTCCCATCTGAAAAAGAGCGCATACAGAACAGATGATCTGCGGACTAACAGATCTACTGACTAAATAAGGTTGCACTCACTTAAAAGCAAGCTGCTTAATGCCCTGATGGTCTCCCTGCCTTCACATATGCCATCCCTGCAATTAAATCTGGGAACTGACGTTTAATCCCTTAAATTGTGGAATGTAGAGCTGGGGAGACGATAAGAGGATTAGGTGGCCTTTCTTTCAAGTGGGTACGCTATATTTTTAATTCCGGAGATCTGAATGCTCTCTTAGAGACCATTCCCAAAGATATTTGGATCGATCAATCTCCCTGGAGAGTCTCACTAAATTGCTACCAAACTGACTTAAACGTCTGTCACGCCTAGTAAAACTGTTAGGGGGTAATTATCTTTATCCCCAGCTGGCTGATTCCGTAGGCGTGGCCTTTTGAGCTGATAGCAATTTAGCGTGAACCCCCAGGGAGTTAGGTCGATCTAAGTATGGGAACCCAGTCTTAGATATACATATATTGTGTTCAGCAGTGCTGATTGCAATCAAGCTATTTAGATTCACATTTGATGTTTTTATTATTATTACCAATATTCTGATATCCTTGGTCAGTGTATGAGGCTTTTACAAAGTTATGTGATTGCAAGTACAGATATCAGGTCTGAGCCTGAAGCATTTAAGGTTGAGAGCACAGTGTAAATGCAAGGCATGCAATGCCATAGCTGTGTGTCAAACTGACTTCAGGTGATCCTTTGAGAGCAACACAATACAGTTAGAAGTGGTACATTTACAAGTGTATCCTGACTTAAGTATATTGAGATGAAGCCTCGGCAGGACACCTGAACACTGTTTATCAACCATGGAGTTTTCCATGGAGAAAGTTCAAAGCAAAACAAGGCCACCGCCAGCATTTTAATTATTTCTAGGATACACGTTCTTACTGTAGCCATGCATTCTTATCACCAGTGTTTTTATTCAAATTGAAAGGATAAACAAAAGTAGAAAAAGTGATTGACCTTGAATAAGGCCCTTTTTTTACATTAAGCAGTTTTTAGTAATACAGTCTGTACTAGTACACTGGCTATTATATGTTAGAGAGTTACCTACCAGGAGCCTTTGTGCTCATCATTCCCAATTAAATAACTAAACAGCAAGAAGTGAACTAGTGGAGAACTTGCAAAAAGGAGTCAAAATAAATGTAGAATTATTACAGGTTAAGACCTCTCAAAGTAAACTGTTAGTCAGACTATATATATATATATCACTTTTAGTATAATACTGAATGTGAAAGGGGCCTTAAATGGCTCATCAGTCATATCTGGATAGTAGGCATCCCACCAGCCAATTCTCAGACTCCATGCCCATAGATACCATCAGTCTACTTAGATCGATCCAGCTCTGCAAGGACTCTCGTTAAGTGCAATCAGGTTAACTGAATGTCTCTTCCTGTTTCCAACGTATTTGTGTAATCACCAGCTTTTCTGTATTCTACTTAATGCCTCGAGGAGGCATGTTAATCTGTTAAATGGATTGCATTCAGCGAGAGTCTCAACGGAGTTGGATCAGTCTCTATAGACTGCTGGTGTCTATGGGAATGGTGCCCTAGTGCCCCTGCTATTTCAGAGTGTGAAAACCAGCTAGTGTTTCCAAGATATTCAAATGTCACCTTTAACTCCATTGTCATGCAGTTAAAAACAATGACACTTTACATATACTGGGGTACTTGAAGTACAAGAAATAAACTTGCTTTTTAGTTTCATCCAAAACATGGTTGCAAAAGGGATGTAGTCAGGAAGGGATGTAGGGATGTATGGTACATTGTACATAATTGGTTTTTATTTTCACAGAATATAATTTTTATTTTGCTAGGCAAAAACAAATTATTTTTTCTTTTCATTGGAGACACATATTGTACATGTGCTTTTATTGGCCATCAACAAACAAATGTACAACTCTTAGTAAATTTAAATGAAGCCAGACAATATGGGAAATAGAGGAGAAGATTGTTATAGTGATGATCAAAAATCACCTCAAGTTTATCCCTGTGTACTCCTTTTCTTTAACATGTTTCACAGGATCTGCAAGCACTTCTGCAAAATGGCAAAATGATGCTGTACGTAAGCCTGGTAGTAAAAACCTGTTGGCATTGGCTTGATTGACTAATGGAGAGATTGTATAGCAATCAATTAGTGATTTGTACATCCAAGGTCAGCCTTCTGGCACATTTCTGCCCAGATGATACATGCATTAATTTTCTAAACAGTCAGCTAAAGTAATAGCCTAAAAGCAAAAATTGATCAGTAGGCCCTAAGATAATATTTTTACCACTCAGAATACGAAGAATTAAGGACTATAAATTGGCTGTGGTGGTTTCTACAAAATATGTGATTAATTGGCAAGTAATAGGGGTTAAGAGCTACTGGACGAAGTGGCTATGTTTCCAACCACTGTTTAGATAAAACCTGTTTTATGTGTGTAATGTGTATATGTGATAGCTTCAGCATATTCTCAAGCAATCACTCTAACTTGATAGATGACTATGTAGTGCAGACCCATACAGACTATGTACATGTGTACAGTGCCATCCAATTCAGTCTACGTCCCATATGCTGCTATGCTAGCTGCTTCAGATCAACTGTTAAAATTTACTTTTACACTTGTTGACTTATACCTGTGCCCATTTTCTGCATACTCCCAGTATTATTTTTGAGCAAGTTGTGATTAGGATAAGGCATTATTTTTTAGCTGGACCCCCCTTCCTCTAAAATGTGTGAGAACTAAGCTGTCATTGCCAGTTATTTAGAAGTAATACACATCTCTTTGCCCTTAGCACAGGTGGTCAATTACTGCCTCCGAACCTACACTGATCTGTTTTTGCTTTTAGAGGCATACTAAAGATCTCCAAAACAAAATCCAGATTGTGTATAGGAATGGTAAAAGTTGGTAAGAGGACTTGCCAAAAGCCAGCTTACTAGTGGAACCCGTGTAGGTCCACTACATGACATTTATGGAACATTGTGTGTAGACATTTGAAAGATTTATGGAGTGACCACCAGAGGTCTGTTATTAAAACACCTGGTGGGGCATTTTATTATTAATTAAGGATTGTGTACCTTATACCGAATTGCCTTTTCAATATTTGATAAGAGTTCAAGTTTGTTTGATGTTCGTCAATTTGCACTCTTCAGTGCTGTAGTGGGGCACTTTGGTCAATGTTTGAATGGTGTGAAACACTGATAAATTGCTAAATACAACTGGTTTTCTGAAGTTTTGACCTTGTAAACTGGGACTGGTTTCACAAAATATTTTAAGCTAAAAGTTGGGTCTCATTTTCAAAAGAAAATTTTTGTCCATTCCAAACCAAGTAATTTATAGGCCTGTTTAATGAAAAGTGAGAAATAGCACATTTTTAGACCAATTGTTTCTTCATTTTATTTAATTTAGAAGACTGATTTATCATGACTTTAAGTTGACCAATATTGTTGGTCTAGAAAGTCCTGGGGCCTGTTTCACAAAAGAACATTAAATGAGAAGTTGCTCTTAATTTTAAGACCAAATTAGTCTCTTTTGACTGAAGATTTATCAGTTGAGTCCAGTTAAATGAAATATTGTGCCCACTTTATAACATCAAACAAGAGAGAAATGGTTCCTGTTTAAGACAAACATTTCAACAATTTCAGTGGACCACTGCACATGTATTTTCAGAGTGGGTGTATTTCAAAATTTGGTTAGAAGTACTTAAGAAACAATGACCCTGGGGGCCATTATGTGTGTTATACTTATTGACTACAAGGTTAACAACCTTTCATTACCTCCCAAGACAGTTGGTGACTAAAAAAATCAAGGAATATTAACATCCATGTCTTTGAAAATCAGGCAATAATAGTTTGATTTGTACCCAATCGAAATGGATAACCTAAGTCAAGTAACCAGGGACAACCTGGATTCTGACAGGGTCAGATTTCTGCTCACCATGTTAAATTAAGCTTGATATTTGAAGACAACATTTAACAGTCTCATCATCCATGAAATGCTCCTAGACAAATATTACAGAGTCATCTTTATGAAGTTGGCTATCCAATTCTAGCAGTCTAAGGTTAGTCCAAAACATTTTAGTGAAACAGAACTTGGCTATTAACATGAGTCCTTTCTTGAAGCTAGGCCCTGTATCTTAAGTGAATAAGGCAAGTGCATGACTTTGTAATGTCATGTAAAAGAAAGAAATTTTCTGAAATTTTCAGCTGGTATTATTAAAAAAAAACATATATTTAAGGCAGAACCCTCATGTAAACACTTTATATAGACACTATTGTATCATTATTAGTAAGACAAAGCAAACAACATCCTACTGTATTTGCCAATAAAAAAAATGACTTTTAGTTTCTATAAAGCTTAAACTTCAAGCTTGTCTTTTTGTGTAGGTATTAATATTTTTTTATTGCTCCCACTATCTGTACCATTGAAGATAAATAACTTAATTTTCAGCAATGAACTGTACATTTTGGAAGAAAATATGTAATTGAATAAATACAATAGTTAGTAGACTAAAAATAAGTATTGTACAGTAACTTCTCTGTAGTCAGTCATTTTTCTCTTTTAAATGTCCCATATTATATGTTGTCTTATTTAGGATCCCAGATTCAATAATGAGGTTGACTTGAAAACGGGCTACAAAACCCACAGCATCCTGTGTATGCCTATCCTGAATTACGAGGGAGATGTCATAGGCGTAGCACAGATCATCAACAAGAGGACAGGGGATGAAGTCCATGAATTCACAGAGGATGATGTTGAGGTAACATGCTTGTCTGATATGCAAGTTTGTTATATATAGACACAACATATATATATATATATATATATATATATATATATATATATATATATATATATATATATATATATATTCTGCTCACTGTATGTCCTTGTCACCATTGCTGTTGCCATTCAAAACACTAGTACTTATGACTGCCAAACCAAATTTTTCTCTTACTATGTAGCATTTTTTGGTTAAAAGGGTTCCTTTCAGAATTAAGCATAATTAGATTAGTTTTGCCAATTATTTTTTTCTTTTGTATGTGTGATTTTTGGAAATCGCCATCCTGTAAATGGCTTAATGTTTTTTTGGTTGACTTCTAATTTGCTGAGTGAGTTTGTATCGAATATATTTCTAAAAGTAATTGATTTTTCTTTTTTGCAAATATTGTTGCAGTATTGTTTAGTGTCTGTATATTTGCTTGCTTTGATGTCTTATTACCTCCGACAAGGAAGTTATGTTTGTTTATTTATTTGTATGTAATTTATTTTGGGTATGGTATGGGGGGGGGGGGGGGAGAGGGTGCCATCATAAATTTGGCAACCATTTTGGAAAAGTTAAGAGTTTTTTTTTAGACAACTATTTGTTAAAAACACCCATAAAGTTGATTATTTAATGTAGTTCAGCAATTTAAACATAAGGTATGTAGCTTTGAAGCAAACTTTCTTATTTGAGTATGACATACTTTTCTGAAGCGGTTACATATTTGTTAACCTGTCCTTATCTTCTGTTTCTTTATTTGCTTAATATTCAGTATGCTCACACTAAATGTTTGGGTTTACATGCCTTGGCTTAGCTGTGGTATCTCAGTATGGGGTAAATTGAAATGGTAATTACTGAAAAATTTCATTCTTTCTTTTTACAATGCCATTAGAAATATAAAAAATGTTCAAAATATATTTACTTCTCTTATGATGCTTGTATGTTTCAAGACTTCAGTCGATTAAAAAGACATACATTTGTTAATGTGTTTGACTAAGCACTCAAGATTGAAATTAAGTTAAAGCCCCTCTCAATGCAAGTGATATATGTTTATGTGCATGAGAGAGAAACATTTGACAGAACAATTACAAGGCTCAGGAAAATCTCAAAGGGCATGTGAACTGAGCTGGACATTAATATTGTTCAATTCCTTGCTCTGCAGGGAGAATTTGTTTGTGCACATTGAGAAATTGACCAGTTGTCCCTTGGAGTGACCTTTTGTGTTGAATTATTTATCACCAACATGAAGTTTGATTTGGGAGAAGCATGGGAACAATTAAGCCGGGGTATTTCTTATATATATAAGAATTTTGCTAATGCCGTCCTCTATTTTCAGTTTTGTAGTTTGTATGGTGGAAAATGATTGTTTCTGACAAACTGGTCTATGAAATTTTGGAAAGAAATAATGTCTTACAGAAATGTGACATTTAGTGGGAATTGTTGCAGCCTGAAATGATTAATATGAAGCACACTTGTGTTGTGATCCATCCATAAGTACTTTGTAAGCTTTTAAGGATTGTTCATAAATCTTTGTAATGTAGCAGCTTGAAGCCATTGGTTTTGCTGTAAATGTGTGCCCAAATTACCAAACGTAATGCAAAGTTTAATGAAAAACAACCATTTAACCTTTTGCAAAATATCTTCTATTAAAAAGAGTTGTTAAATGACAGTATATAACTTGAAGCCTTCGAACACAGCATGGAAATACTGCAAAAATTTTTGCAAGAGAAATGCTGATGCAAGATTTTATATATCCACACATACAGTGCAGGCATTTATCTTTTGAAAAGTACATAGGAAAGTAAATGTAATTTGTATATTGTATTCGAAAGAGGGAAAGAAATTTTCCAGGCACCTTAGCCTCTTTAAACTTCAATTCATAGCTTGCCATTGGCAACATATGAGTTATTTAATTAATAAAACATGTCAGTTGGAGCAGTTATGCAGCCATGACACCTATGGCTTCTTAATGGAACAGCAAAATGAACATGCAGCTGAGAATTTTATTGGCCTTAAATGTCAAGAAACTCTCCTGTTTTCACTTTTTTTACAGATATCTTCTAGGTAATATTTCCTTCAAAGTTGGCACAGATGTTTTGTTTTCCATCTTTACCATCAATATTTATTGAAAAAATTGAAAGTATGGTGGTATTCCAAAGAGTGGTGACATGCATTATTTGCTTCAATGAAATTTTGCATATGGGAATTTAATGTCATGATAGAAGAGGATATGATATGCTTATGAAGAGATATTACCAGTAAAAAAGAAAAAAAAAACAACAAAAAATTTTAATAAAAAACATTAAAAGGAGGAATGCACAATTTAAGGGGAGGGGGTTAATTTGAATGATGATGCATGTATATTACATGTAACAGCAGTTTTTATTATCCCACAAAAGAAATTTTACAGTAATAGTATTTTAATAAAATGGCATTTGTGGTGTCAAAATGTTATTTGCAGATTTGAGATTTTATCACTTGGTCAACTATCAAAAAACCCAGTGCCATGGTAAAATTGCACAGTAGGACAATAAAACAAAACTTCAATTCTTCAGCATTAATCACTGAAAACTTGTTATAATACTTTTTCTTAAAGGTGATCTGTCAACTGGAGCTCATAACTCCAATTTAGATCATACAAAGTATTGAGACAACATTTTGCTCTTCAAAAACTTTTTAGCAATCACTAGGGCCATTCACACTAGCAAGTAAACTGCGTTCCAGTTATCCCCAATAGAATTGTGATCAAATAAATTCACTTTCTCTGCATTCACACTGATACTGGCAGCACATTGGCACACTGATATACAGTAGCCTTTCAGCTGTTATACTTCCCGTTTAGCATGCCCACCATTGTTCTCATTAGAAAGTAAAAACATGGCAGCAGTTCCAGTAACAATGATTGCAATGCTGTTAAACACGTAATTGTCTTTTATATTTTTTATGATACAGATGTATTTAAACATATACCATGTTTGAAGTGAGTAGATTTTTTTTTTCAAAATTTATTCAGTAGAGTTGTGTTTTCCATCTGTAGACACACTCAGCCCATTTATGCTTGAAACTGGATATTACATTCAGTACTGTGTTGGTAACTTTGTCAGATGGACAGAGCCGTTGCCAACAACAAACAAAATCAATGTGTTAATTCTGACAGTACATACATGTAAGTACTTTACAGTCTTATCTTTGATTGGGGAGAAGCAGTGGAAAATTCTAAGGCAAGAAAACAGGGTTTCTATGAATTATTAGTTCCCTGCTGATTGCCGGATAGTTAACCAGGCCATTCTGTTCCCTGTTTTCTGTTTTCTGTTGTCTGTTGTGCATTTACCTCCCTTCTTAAGTATATTTTTCATTTATTACTTTGATAAACCTGTTTTATAAAAGAATGTAAGTAGTATAATTACATAAATATTTGGTGCACTGTGAATCAGAGAACACCTTAAGTGAGCAATAGAATTATTTGGAATAGAGGGGGAAGGGTAGCAGGACATTTATATCTCCTCCACCCCCATTAGTATGAAATTCCATCAATGACAAGCAATAGAAAGGTTGATTAACATTTTGCCTTCTTGAGGCTGCATGTATTTTGGCTAAACTCAAATACGATTTTACAATTTATGTTTATGAATTATAATTGACCAGGTAATAAAGATGGTAATCCAAATGATTAAGAGTGCATTCCCAGAGTTTTAGATCAATCTATCCCTGTGGGGAGTCTCACTAGATTACTGTCAGCTTAGCTGGCTTAAATGTCTGTCCCACCTACTAAAAATTGTAAGAGGGTAAGTAACTATGGTGCGCGCTCGACTGACAGCAATTTAGCGTGAACCCCCAGGGAGTAAGTTCGACCTGGATGGATCGATCTAAATCTCTGGGAATGCACTCTTATACTATCCTTGAAACTTAAAGCTGACAACATTTAGGCAAAGTGTCTATTTATCAAGGGTACCTACATTAGTATTAATATTACTAAGGCCCCATTCAGAATAACGGACCAACTAGTCCGAGGGTCAAATATGGTGACCCACTAGTAAGTTACAAAGCTAGAGACTGAATAGATATCCTGTGGGGAAGTATTCAAGTGGGTCGGCCACTGATTAACCCTCGGACTAGTTAGTCCCCTATTCTGAATGGAGCCTTAGTTTCATGATTATCTGATTTAGAAAAGGAGTAATGTTCTCTTTTTTTTAGTGTAAATGACCATGAATAGTTATCTTTATTTTGACAGGTGTTCAAAAATTACCTTACATTCTGTGGAATTGGGATAACAAATGCTCAGCTTTTTGAGCTGTCAGTTGAAGAATACAAGAGAAATCAGGTAGGTGTGGTTTCTCTATTGGTTTTTTAGTGATAAATAACTAATTTTATCAGTAATGTGTAAATGGTCAGAAACAAGAGGCAATATTCAAAAAATGATTAAGCATTATTTTTAAAATGAAAATGTATTAATTGTTTTGAGTATTTAGTCAGCAATATGGAATTAAGGGTAGAATTTTGATAGAAGCATTTTTTCAAGCAATATTGATAAGCTTAAGATAAGTATCCCCATAACAATGGCCTGTCTTTTAAGATGCAGCTAAACCAAGGGCGTATTCCCAGACATTTAGATCAATCTATCCCCGTGGGGAGTCTCACTAGATTACTGTCAGATAATCCGGCTTAAATGTCCGTCCCACCTACTAAAAGCTGAAAGGGGGTAATTAACTTTCGTGCCCGCTCGGCTGACAGCTATTTAGCGTGAACCCCCAGGGAGTTAGGTCGATCTAGTTTGGATGGATCTAATCTCTGGGAATGGGGTCCTAGATTCCATGCATCTTTTTACACACTAAATTATTAAACCATGTGTGGAATTACACCCTTGTAGCATGTTGCTGCCCTATACTTTTCATCAGCCTTTCACCATTAAGCATGAACATTGCCTGGAACTCATATCTTTTATAAATTACTAGTTTTCCCTTCATTGATTTTATCACTCGATATGTCATACTCCTATCGTACTTCTGAGATAATTGATTTTTTTTTCTTTTATCAGCAAGCACATTGAAAAATGAGACAATTCTTATTGAGTTTGTCAAAATAAGGGAAGGAAAACTTATTTAGATCAGACAGCTTATCTTAATATGTATCTAGTATTCAACTTCCAACATTTGAACAGATTAACTCAATGATAGAAACCATTGTCACAAATAAATCTTGTCTTTTTAATGCACAAGAGTTCTGAAACTATATTAAAATAGCAATATCATGTGGTTCTGAATTTTATGCAAGAACTGTCAGTTCAAATGCAGGTGTCATTAAAAAAATGGCGATAATTATGAAAGTCCAGAGCCTTGAATGGTCTGGCAAGCAGTCTGCTTGCTATTTTGCTTTAAATGACTGTCAAGGAAAAATGCATCAGTATTGAAGTTCTTCTGGATAGGTTCACCATTCTAGGTAATCCCATTTAAATAAAGGCTATGCCCTTCATTTGAGATAGTGTTTGAAATGTTAAGTGAATTTTTATGCAGAATTGAACAAGAAAAAGGTATCTGATTGAGTTCCCAAAAGACATGATATATCATTTTACTCTATGTGAAGATTAGTTAGAATTGCCTTTATTTCAAAGAACACACTGATCAATCTGTTTTTTTTTTTTTTTTTTTTTTTTTTTTC